AAGACAATCTCTAAAGATGCAATAATGGCATTCATATCTTGGAGTTAACCAACAGCTATCTAATTGGACTGCTCAATGGGAGTGAAACCATGCCTGGTACAAGAAACCTAGCCAACTACCCAGGCTTAATGATATTGTGGATCTTAGAGGAGAACCTACCACTGCCACTTTGCTAGACCAGCATGATTTCTAACTGCAGTCTAAAACATTTTATACCCACAGATACGTGTAAGTCTCATCCCACATCAAAGAAACCTCTCCTTGGAGCAAAAAGAGACCATTACAGAAAACCACAACTGGTCAAATTGCAAATACCAACTGATTGTGGGGTGTTAGCCCCAGTGGATACATCTACAATACAACTCCTGCACTTAAGGCTTAGGGAATATCTTGGAAGAGGGGAGCAGGAAGATTTTAAGAGTCAGAGGACCAGGAAGCCTGTTGTGAAATTGTGTCTCTTAGAAATGACAAGGAAGCTACATATTGTTGATACCTCAACAATATGGCTTCTTAAACAAGACCTGAACAGTGACATTATCAATAGACATGCTAACACAGAAGGAAATCACACAGGGTCCAACTCCTAAACAAAGAACTACAGGCAACTAATGACCACTGAGGGAGGAGTAATTTAGCTTCTCTTGGGTAATGAGCCCTCTAATTGGCTATCTAACAGCCAAGTGGTCAGCCCTCAAATCATATATATCGAAGACACTCAAATAGATTCAGCTGGTTGTATTTGCAAATGTATGCATTTGTGTGTATATAACAATAATAATAAAAGAAAAAGAAGCTATCAATTTGAGGAGAAAAGTAGGAGTGTGGGGGAAGGATCAGAAGAAGGAAAGGGAAGAGTGGAGTAATGTAATTTTAAATGTTTAATTAAAAATGATGTTAAAAGCTCAAAACAAAATAAGAGAGAGAACACATCAAGTTGGGAGAGATAAATTAGGGAGACAGGTGAGGAGCTGGATGGAAGGGAATGAGGGAGTGGATTTGGTCTCAGCACAGTATATGTGTATGTGGATATTACATTAAAGGAAGAAGAAAAAGAGGAGGAGGAGGAGAATGGGGCAGGGTGAGAGTCACAGTTGTATGTAACCTTTATTATTAGCATCAGTAAAAAGTAAAATCTGAGTCTGGAAAGACGGCTTAGTGGTCAAAGTGCTTGCCGCAGAAGTATGAGGACCCAAGATCAAATACTTAAAAGTCACGTGTAATTCCCCCTCAGAAGGCAGAGAACTGCAGAGCAAGCCAGCTAGTGAGACCATCCATAGCCACACTGATCAGCTCTGGGTTTGATTGAGATATCCTGCCTCAAGGAATATGGTAAAAGAGCAATGGAGGGTGGTTCCTGACATCAACCTTGGGCCTCCACATGCTGCATACCCACAGATGTGCACACACACATGCACATACACGAACATAATCATGTACACCCATACACAGGAATGCACACACATCACATACACATACACCACATACACACACATGCACACATGCAAACACACGTACCTCATATACACACATGCACACACACATGCAAACATACACCACATATATACATGAAAAGAGAAAAAGCAAAATCTTTGGACTGTACTTCCTTTGGTATAAAAAGAAAACAATTGTATAATTTAATAAAGGTTCTACTTGCAAATAATACCCCAGACGTCCCATTTGTCGGCCATTATGCCCATGTGCTTTTTGTCACTTCTGTGTGTGACAAAAAAAAGTTCCTCCTGAAACAATTCTTCAATCCAAAAGATCCATTCCACAGCCAGTGCTCTTAAATCACAGAGAGGGGATGACTGTATAAGGCTAAGCAAATGGCTAAGAGTCAACGCCCTTGCTTGAAAACAGTATTTCCTTCCCTGACTGACAACACATTAAATAAGCAGCATTAGACTGATGAGTGTGAGGATGAGAATGTCCCCATACAGTAAGTACAGCCAGCTCCCCTGTCTCCAAGAGAATTCTTTTTCTTTACTGCCTTGGTGGTTGTTGTTGTTGTTGTTGTTGTTTGGGTTTTTTTGTTTGTTTGGTTGGTTGGTTGGTTTTTTAGTTCTTTGAGAATTTCATACAGTATTTTTTGATCATATTCTTCCCTCTCCCATAATTCCTCCTGGATCCACCCTCCACACTCAACTTCATGTCCTTTTTTTTAACTCATTGAGTACAATTTGTAGCACTCCCATACACTTGAGTGTGGGACCATCCACTAGAGCATGGATAACTTAGCAGGGACCACATCCTCAAAGAAAAATGATTTTCCCTCTCCCAGCAGCTATCAGTGACCAAAGGCATCTTGGCTTGGAGTGGGACTTGGTGCCCACCTCCTCTCTGCATGCTGGCTCTTGGGCATGCTCAGCTGCCGCAGGCACCCGGAATGGAAGCTTATCTCACTCAGCGGCTTCTGCAGCACGCTTCTCTAAAGTGGCTCTGGTCGGGGCACAGACGCAGGTCCTTCTCTTTCTTGGCTTTACCTCGTGAGGATGCTCAGGCTCACATAGTCTTCGTTCCCTCTGCACATAAGACTCGAGGATGTGGCTCCTCTCCCCGACTTCCAGCCTTGCTCATTCTAGAAGCTCCCAAGCTACCACCTGTGGTCTTTTAGATCCCCTCCTCTCCATGTGTTCTCATCTACTGGACTCTCATTATTTCAACTTTCTGAGGGTGATTACCACACAACCCCTTTTATTTCTCTTCCAGTGTGACAGAGAACTTGAGAAGAACAACTTAGTGGAGGAAGGGCTCTTTCTGGCTCACAGTTTGAAGAGGCACAGGCTGTCATGGTGGGGAAGATATGGAGGTAGGAAGACGATGCAGAGACTCCTCACATCACCATGGACAGAAGTGGGACCAGGCCATAAAGGTAAGTGCTCACTCCTAGTGACCCAATTCCTCCAACAAGATTCTACTTCCTGGAGATTCCACAGCCTTCCAAAACAATACACCAACTGTGAATCCAGTGTTCAAACACTTGAGCCTATGGAGACATTCACAGTTTGTGGCTACTTCTTCTGAACTGAAACACTCTCTCCTAGAGAGAGAAGGAAAACTCCTAAGACAAAAGGAGTAAATGAAACACACAAGACTCAGGAAATTCCTGAAACTTTACGTAATCCATAAGTCCCCTCATCAAGGTTATAAATGCAATAAGCAATTGCTGGGGAGAGGAGGCTCCATTCTGCCTGGCTGCCAGGAAACTGTAAGGGAGATTCAGGGGTGAGCTTGCCTGAGCTGCCCATGATGGGTAGGCTTTTCAGTGATGGCACTGCTTTTGAGTCACACATACTCCTGTAAATAACTCGATAACTCACTGCTCACTAAGCTAGATCTGGGTAGAATTATCTCTTTGGTCTGTCATCGGTACTCTTTCTGAAGTAAAGAGACATGTGATCATATCCCTAGGAAAAGCTACATAAAAATTTGCCCAGAAGTCCTTGTAATTGGAGCTCCCAAGGTAACTGTCCAGACCATCCACGTTTGTTTCTGCTGTAGTAACTAAGTCTTTGCTGTGCTCAGGACTCAGGCTGCACTGAAGGTGAAGGGCTTAAGTGGTTTTCTGTGCTGTGTCAAAGAGACTGAAATTGGGGTAGCAGCAATTCATTCTTTCAGCTTTTCTGTAAGTGCCTCATTTGAAATTCCTGATCAGACAGTCCCTCTTCATGCCTGAACTTAGAAATCTGATGTTTCCTTTCCCATCCTGTCCTGTACTACAGTGGCCATTACTGTGCTCTGTGCAAAAGCCCTTCTCCAGTCTGGCTTCCCCCAGCTGCTAGCATCAGCACTGTGTCTCTCACTCACCATGACTCCTGGGCAGGGTATCCCAGCTTCCCCATGTCATACTCCTGGGCAGGGTATCCCAGCTTCCCCATGTCATACTCCTGGGCAGGGTATCCCACCTTCCCCATGTCATACTCCTGGGCAGGGTATCCCAGCTTCCCCATGTCACACTCCTGGGCAGGGTATCCCAGCTTCCCCATGTCATACTCCTGGGCAGGGTATCCCAGCTTCCCCATGTCATACTCCTGGGCAGGGTATCCCAGCTTTCCCATGTCATACTCCTGGGCAGGGTATCCCACCTTCCCCATGTCATACTCCTGGGCAGGGTATCCCAGCTTTCCCATGTCACACATCTTCTTCCACAATGAAGCCAGAAGCTAATGGATAACTGCTGCTGCTGCAAAGATATATTTGACCCTCTTGTCTCTATGTGTGACAACTCCAAAGAGCCACCCCAGCTCAGATCCTCCATGTGCTGAGCTGAGGTCTCAGTTCTAACTGTACTGCAAATCCGCTCATCTTCCTAATCCTCCTTGACTCACATCCTCACAGGGATATGACCAGCATGCACACTTCCTTATAACGCTTAGAAACAACTTCCTGTCTTGGAGTACTTTTCAACCTAATGTAATCACCATTACAAAAAAAAAAAAAAAGCAGCATGGTTATGATATAGACACTACTGAAAGTCTGATGGTTCAGATCCCCAGAACCCGCGTCAAAGCCAAGCAGGCATGGTAGCTGCCTGTAGCCCCAGCACTCCAGAAGCAGAGACAAGGGGCTCCCTAGGGCAATACCTAGAGTAGCCAGGATGAGCGCACTCTGGGTTCATCAGGAAATGCTGCCTCAATTAATAAAGTGGACAGCAGTCAAAACAGACACATGACTGAAGTGTATGTACATGCATATACACACATTTAAGCTCACCAGTACATGTGTGCCCATACACATGTGCACACATACTACACACACACACAAAAAAAAAACACAGGCCTGTACATGCATATACACACATTTAAGCTCACCAGTACATGTGTGCCCATACACATGTGCACACATACTACACACACACACAAAAAAAAAAAACCCACATATTATTATTAGAGGAAATTGCTTGAACATACATGTTAAAAATCTACTTCTCTATATGTTTGGTTTTTATCTCAGTCCTGCTTAACAACAAAAACATTTTCACATTCCTCAAAAGTTCTTACTTCCATCTTGAAATTTGCTTAGTCTTTCGAAATACGATGACATGGGGGCCTGGACGATGTCTAGGATAGCCAGCAGGGTCCTTGTCAGCCGCAGCAACTCACTGAAGCTGTAGAACCCGAAGTAGATCAGGTTCCGGGCCAGGTGGACCACCTTTGTCGGCAGAGTGGAGAACAGAGAGAATCAGAAAACGGAACAGACATGTACAAGTTTTACATCTAAAGCCATTCCCCGTTTCTAAGTCCCTAATTCTTTAACACCTAGGAATTAGAGTCCCTGTAAAAGCCACTGTTCAGGTTGTGGCTGATCCACATCTAGGATCGATTCCTAAGAGACTTTAAGGTGATTTAAGGAGCTTATGCTACAATATCTACTACTTAATTAAATGCAAGTCTGGAGGATACCACTTAATCAGTGGTTAAATTACTTTAATAAATATGAGCCATAAATTGGCCCAGAATTTTATGTCCCCTAGCCTGGCCTGTGGCCTTCTTGGTATTACAAGAAATAACAAGGGTGAGATGCAGCCTCCAAGACATGGCTCCAATGTGGGCTGTTCTCCTACAATGTGTCAGATTGGTGTGTGACACAGCAGAAACACTGTCACACCAAGGTCAGCCAAGGTTAGACTATGGAACACTGCATGTAAGTGCCCTTTCTCCCGCCCTCCCTCCCTCTCCTTCTCACTCTCTCTATTTCCCCCTTCTCCCCCCCCAACTATTTCCCCTTCCCTCTCTCTCCCTCTCTCCCTCTCTCCCCCTCCCTCCCTCTCCTTCTCATTCTCTCTATTTCCCCCTTCTTTCTCCCCCCCTATTTCCCCTTCCCTCCCTCTCCCCCTCCCTCTCCTCCTCCCTCTCTCCCCCTCCCTCCCTCTCCCCCTCCCTCTCTCCCCTCCTTACTCTCCCTCTCTCCCCCTCCCTCTCTCTCCCCCTCCCTCTCTCCCCCTCCCTCTCTCTTCCCCTCCCTCTCTCCCCCTCCCTCTCTCCCTCTCTCCCCCCCTCCCTCCCTCCCTCTCCTCCTCCCTCCCCCTCCCTCTCTCCCCCTCCCTCTCTCCCCCTCTCCCTCTCTTGTCCTCTGGCTCTCACTCTGTGGGAAGACAGGTACTGTATCACAGGACACTTGGCCCACAGCAAAGCCGTGTGGCAAACAGCTGAGGTGTGTGGTGACAAGCCAGCACAGAAGCAGGGCCACCACCATCCATCTGAGTGAGGCAGAAACAGCACTCCCATCAGGGGCTGAACAGACACCAGCACTCCACACCCAGGCTGGTGACTCGCAGAAATGCTGTTTCCTTTGGGCCGCCACACTGCGGGTGATATGTCTCCTGACAGTGGATAACTAATGCACCAGGTAAGATGTGACAGCACCCTCTGTCTAGTTTTGTTACAGTATCTTCAGATTTCAATTCAGGTCAATGAGGCTAACTCGTCGTTTCCATGAAGATGGGGAAGGGGCATCTAAAGTATTCATAACTGTCACTTTATCAAGTGTAACAAAGTTTACATATATGAAACAAAATAAACAAGAAAAGCTTTAATTAATTGATAATTGAGATATTTAATTATCAAGGCATAATAAAAATTAAAATAAAATGGGCTTTTATTTGTAATTCTATTGACCATTAACATGATAGGGATAAGGCATTACTAGTCACTGAGTACATATGTCACACTAATCTACTTAGAAAAGGTGATTTTTTTTTTTTCAAATTTGTCAGGGGGCTCTGTAACCTGAAGTTTTTCTCTTTTCTCATCTGTTTCAAATTGTATCACATCACTTGATTGTTGTCTAATTAACATGTGAACTGCTTTTCTACACAGCATGCATGGTTTCAAAAGTAAGTTAATGAATGAGATTAAAGTTTAAAATCCCAAATCTTTATTTTTATCATCGTCAGATGGAATTACATCTGCCTGAACCTAACAACTCAACTGCCCAGACACCCTGAATATTAGAGGAGAGGAAAATCTACGATGCTCAATGAATCTGATTTCTGACAAGAACACACAATCGTGCCATGAGCGGCTAAAATGCCTCAAGTGGAGTTGGAGAGATGGCTCAGGGGTTGAGAGTGTTTGATGCTCTTCCCGAGGACCGGGTTTGCTTCCCAGCACCAGCATGGCTCTCAACCATCTGGTTCAAGGGGATTTGACGCCCTCTTCCGACCACTGTGGGCAACAGGCACGAAGGAAATAAACTGAAAATTTTTTAAATACCTCAAATGTCAGCTTATTTTTCTCTTTGTCTCCAAAGGGAAATGGCTGATTTACAACTTCTTTCAAATATTCTTCAACAAATTCCATCGTGAGGGCAAATTTCCTCTTCATGTCATTTCTGGAAGAGTCTGTGGTAGAGTCATACCTGGACAGATAACACAAGAGCAAGTTAAGCTGATGAGAAACACGGAGAAGTGGGGTATTATCTGACTCCCAGAGTGCATTGCCTTGGACATGTCAGTCAACCTCTTGGGGTACACATGGCATCTGTGACACAGGCCATTGCGAACTGAGATGGAACAAGCAAGGTGGAGTCTGCCAGTCACCACACACTCAGCAAGCTTCCAGAAACATGTTTCCTGCTAGAGAGCTATCATGTTGCCTGGGGGGGGGGGGGGGGGGGGGGGGGGGGGGGGGGGGGGGGGGCGCAGTATTGATGTGGGATATCTTCCTGTACGCTGTGAATATGTGTTGCTTCCCATTGGTTAATAAACAAAGCTGCTTTGGCCGATGGCTCAGGCTATTACTAGCTAGCTCTTACAACTTAAATTAACCCGTTTCTATTAATCTATATTTCGCCACGTGGCTGTGGCATTACCAGTCTGCTGGCATCTTGCTCCTTGGGCAGCTGGATGGCGTCTGTCCTGACTCTACCCTTCTTCTCCCTGTATCTCTGCTTGGATTTCCCGCCTAGCTATATTCTGCCCTGCCATAGGCCAAAGTAGCTTTATTTATTAACCAATGGGAACAACACATATTCACAGCATACAGAAAGACATCTCACATCAGGATATCTTATTGACTTTTCCCAGATGAACATCGTGAACGGAAAATGCACAAATCCCTTCCTGTGTTTTTCATTACAAAATTGAAGACACTTGACTTTGTTTTCATCTGCTGAATTTGAACGTCCTGAGAAATGCATCTGTAACAGCTCATTTTCACTGTCAATGTGGCAGGACCTCAAATCCTTTAGAAAACATGCCTCTGGGCACATCTGTGAGGATGTCTCCAGAATCAATTAACTGAAGAGGGAAGGTCCACTTTGAGTGTGGAGACTATTACTGAATAAAGAGAGAAAAAATGAGAAGTGAGATCTCTGCCTCCTGAGGGAATATTCAAGGTGATGCTGCCCCGAGGTCCCGGCAGTTTTCTCTGTCATCGTGGACTGCTCCCTCAAACTGTGAACTGCAATAAATCTTGCCCTCTGTAGCTGTTTCTCATCAGCTATGAGAAAAGTAATGAATACGATGTACTGGATAGTTTTATGTCACCTTGACACAAGCTATCATCAGAGAGGAGGGAGCCTCAATGAGAAAATGTCTCCATAAGATCCATCTGTAGACAAGACTGTGCTGTAGGGCATTCTCTTAGTTAGTGATTAATGGGGCGGGGGGGAGCCCACTGGCCATTGTGAGTGTTGCCAACCCTGGGCACATGGTCCTGGGATCTTTAAGAAATCAGGCTGAGCAAGTCATGGAGAAAAGCCAGTAAGCAGCACCCCTCCATGACCTCTGCATCAGCTCCTGCCTCCAGGTTTCCTGCCCTGCTTGAGTTCCTGTCCTGCCTGGCTTCCTTCAATGATGAAGATGATGTAGAAGCAAAAGCCAAATAAACCCTTCCCTCCCCAAGTTACTTTGGTCATGGTATTTCATCACAGCAATAGTAACCCTAACTGGGGCTAGAGAGATGGCTCAGTGGTTAAGAGCACTGATTGCTCTTCTAGAGGACCTGGGTTCAATTCCCAGCACCCACATGGCAGCTCACAACTGTTTGTAACTCCAAGGTCTGACACCCTCAAAACAGACATACATGCAGTCAAAACACTAATGCACATAACATAAAATAAATAAATTACTTTTAAAAAAATAGTAACCCTAACCAAGACATAGTTTCCAAACATACTCATGAATCGTGATCTTTGTGGGGATTTCGGTCCAGAGCCGGGCATAGCGAACAGGCACCACAGACTCCTGGGGGTCCCGGTCAACATGCATGTGGAGCATGAGTCGACAGAAAGAAGCTCGGAGGTCAAAGGGCAGGCTCTCATCAGACACACAGCGAAGGATCAGGTCTACAGACAGCTGTGTTGAAATCTGGTTGATGGCCAGATACTGGCGGTCCAAACACATCCTCGCAAAGAGGTTTAGTTGGTACCTGAAAGTATGAGATGTGTTACATTATTCCTCTTGCCTCCATCAAGGCCCTAAACAACAAAGCACAGCCATCTGCTGGGTGTGCACATGTGTTCATCAGCACTTACAGCACTGAGCCAAACTCTTTCATACTGAACAAATGACAGCAGAGGTCTAACACTCTGTCCCTGTCACTAAGGCTCCTCTCACAGCCAGGATCTCAGTCCTAACATCAAGTGCACCAAACCTGGAATGGACGATGAGTCACAGAAAGACACCTCTCTCCACCTTCCCAGCCTCTGCTGGGGTGAGGGTGGGGACCCCAGCATCTACACTGATTTTGTCCCACCTGGTTCACAGAGCAAACAGGATCGGTCCCAGTGGTACCACTACAGGGTTCTTGAGGGGGAAGGACCGTGTGGAGGTCAGAGGGCAGCACTTGGGAGCTGGTTCCCCTTCCCCTTTAGTTCCAGGGATCAAATTCAGGTTGTCAGGCTTGTATGACAAGCATTTCTACCCACTGAGCCATCTTGCCAGCCCCCCAGTTAGGTTCCTGATCCCAACATACTGACCCCTGGGAACCACCTCTCCTGTTCTTGCTAGTGAACACAGGTGACCTTTCAGAACTACAGACCCCTCCACCTCTCCAGCCCCAAAGTGCACATGCTCACAAGATCCCCTCTTAACCCACTGCCACTTCCTGAGAGGCCACCCCTGCAACCAGATCTATCTCACCCAGTTCCTCTTCCCCCTCAGTCCACAGTCAAGGTCTCATTGCTGCTCATCCTCCCCTACATCCCACCAGTAACAGGAAGAAACGCCTTCCTGACAAAAGTCCCAACCTCATCAGAGAATGCAAGAAGAATACACATACATTAGCTTTCATTTTGAGATCTTTAGGTGGTCCTGACCATTTCAGCTCCCCTCTCTGAGTTTTAAATGCGGTCTGACTGTATCTCTAGTTCTTAGAAGTTTTCGAGAATCGGCTCCCTGTGAATATTCGATGTGGAGTGTGAGTGCCCCTAGTACCTGTAGTAAGTAAGAACTTCTAGGTCAGCTTTGGTGCCTTCCTTGGCTTCCTGGGCGAGGTGCCTGATGGCCTTGCCATGAGGCTCCTTGTTGCTGTCAATCCAGTAAAGCCAAACTTCCTCATCATCAATGTCATCAGGAAGGATGGAGCTCTCCATGGGGTTTTCCACTTGCATGGACACCAGCCTTGAAACCAATGACACACAAAATCTATTAAGAAGCATACATACAGTAAGGGATATTCTGAAAGACACCTCCATGGGGCAGCTTACTTTGTCTGAATGAGGATGTCCGCATTGCCAGGACTCAGCATGAATTTGCAGATGAGTTCCTGAGTGATGGGGATGGCAGTGCTGTTGGACACACAGAGATCAGACAAATAGTCTAGAAACCTAGGAAGAGGAAAGTGAACATGAAGAAAAAGCATTTTATTTTTATATTTAACAGAATATCTTTTAGTGATTCTTCAACAATTTCATTATTGTAAACAAAGTGTCTTGAGTATATCCACTCATTAATTTTTAAAAATTGTTTAATTACTAGAGTGTGTGCATGGCCAGACATGGGCTCTGGCAAGCCATGGTGTGTTCGGAGGTCAGAGGACAACTTTCAGCAGTCAGCTCTGTCCTTCCATCTTGAGGCAAGGTCTCCTGCTTCTGCCCACCATGCTGACCAGTCCACAGACTTCTGGCTGACCGTCCCGCCTCCACCTCCATCTCACGGTGGGAGTGCTAGATCACAGACGTGAGCCAAGTGTCCCTGCACCCAGCTCTTCTCCTGGAGATCTGGGAACTGAACTTGGACCATCAGGCTCCACTGGCAAATGCTTCCACCTACTGCACCATCTCACCAGCCCAACAAAGCATTTTAATAAAATCATCACAACAAAAACATAATTTGGAATTTAATAAAAGAAGCTTGTTTTAATGCTGTTTTAATATTGTTTCAATGCAGTGTTTTTCTGTGTGCTGTTCATCTACTGCATCATTAAAAGCAAATTAAACAATTCTTTCTATTACATAAAAGCCTTGTGTAGAATGAGTATGTTTACTTCTATTTTTTAGATTATGCTCATCCATTAGCACAATGACTCATGTTAGGAAAATTATTTATCTTCCCTCAAGTGAGTGTCTCCAAAACCAAGTATCAACAAAAAAGCAAAACCAAGTGAGTATATAACAGGGTTAGATGCACACTTCGGGAGAGGCCTGTCTACCTTCTGGCATTTACTGTTACGGGATTCAGCAGCCAAAGCACAGTGGCGTTCTTGACTGCTCCACACGCACTGCTCCCAGCTAAAGCAGCATGGAGTGAGAAGAGAATGTGCAAACCCTCAGGCCTGGCACCTCCTTCCTGATGGGGGCGCTCACCAGCATGTGGCTTGTCCTTCATCTTCTCCTTCCTAGAGTGCGGGTAAAAGCTCAGTAGCCCCCAAGTGTAGTGGTCACTTGTATCATCCCAGTACTTGGGAGTCTGAGGCAGGAGGATTGCCTTAAGGGGAAGGTCAACCTGGGCTACATAGTGAGCTCCAGGGCAGCTTGGCCTACAGTTGAAAGAGACCCTAGGTTCAATTCCCAGTAGCAAAAAAGAAATAGATAATAAGTCATTCACTTAATTTTATTAAAATCTAGATAACAATGCACGACACCTCATGAGAAGGAGCTGCATAATATTTAAATGAGGCACCTATCAGAAGTGCCCAACTTTTTGACACCACAACATGGTGCCATGGCCCATAAATGTGCTGATTATCATCCAAAGCTCTCCTAGGACACACATGGCCCACAGCTGGCCCCTGGGTGAGTCTATGGGAACACATTCTGGGTTTTCTGTGGCTTCCTTTTGCAGCGCTGGGGACTAAACCTTGAGCCTCACAGTCTCCCACTGGGTTAGCTCCTCAACTGTTTTTTAAATTTATTTTGCTACAGGCCCTACTAAGTTACCCAAGCTTTCCTTAACTCGTTGTTGTAACCCAATTCCTAGTCTTGTAATCCTCCTGTCTCAGCCTTCTGAGCAGCTGGGATTACAGGTGTGAAATACATGAATATATTTTGAAAGGCCATATAGAAGTAAATGAGTGCATTTAAATGTCAGTCTAGGGCTGGGGTGCAGTGCAGCAGCCAATCACTTTCCTGGCATGTGTGAGCCTTAGGTTAGATTTACCCAGCACCAGAAAGACACGCCAACAGTGTCTCCAAAGGGCTCCCATCACCTAAGAAGCAGAAGTAGTTAACACACACCATTAGCACAGAAATAAATGCATCGTCTGCCCATCAACAGTCAGTGCTACAATAAGTGCTCAACTTTTTAAACTTAATTGAAAAAAAAAAAAAAAACTACTCTTCAATCCCCGCCCGAGCAGAGCTTGGCTATGGCCCCACAATCCAGCCAGAGCAGACCTCGGCTCCCGGTTCCTCCTGAGCAGGCTGACGAAGGTCTCAATTTCTTTTGCCGTGATGTGCTTCTCCAGGAGTTTACGATTGTTGTGTAACAAGGCTGTGATCGTATCTTCTGCCAAGATATCATAGCCAATCTGGGACTGCATGATGCAGAAGTTCTTAGCGATGTACTCCTGTGGAGAGAGAGACATTAGCACATGCAGGAGCTGCCTAGAAGTGGCAGACGCCCTGGGAGTCAGCAACTTGGAGGAGCTGAGTCAGGAAAATCCAGTGAGAGTTTGTCAGAAAAAAAAAACAAGTAAATAATGCTTCAATAAAAAGAATTTCTGGAGAAAAGAAAAGGTATCCACTGTCTTCATAATTCAAACTGTAACCAAGGGCTGGGGGTGGAGTTTTGTGGGAGATCGCTTACCTAGCATGTGAAAGGCTCAAGATTCCATCCTCAGTTCCACAAATAACTAATTAATTAATTAAAGCTATGTCATTAATCATTGTTTTTTAAATGGGTACTGACACTCTTGTAAGTGAGCAAAGCAAATCTAAATTTAGTTTTTATGCCTTGGTAACTTGGAATTTCACCAGCCTGCAAGGGGCCCTCTGACTCTCACCAGAAGTTATAACTATCAATTTCCAGTAAAATAACAATAATTTTAAAAAAAAAGCACGTGACCGCCTGCTGCCTCACTCCTGGAACTTGAGATCGGTACAGCCGTCTGAATGTCCTGCATGGACTCCAGGTTCGTTTGTTTGTTTTCCTCAGACTGACACGAGAATAACCAACAAGATCTTCTCTGATAAATAATATCAAAAACTTAGCACACTTATCTGTAGGGAGCAATCAAAAAGGACCACATAATAGCTCGAGTTATTCATTAGATCCAACCATGCAATAACTATTTCGTGATGGCTTCAAAAGTTCTGGGCACCCTGTGGGAGGCTATGAATGTGGCTGTACATGAGAAAGGTCTCCCTGGAGATCACACCAGAAGACCAAAGAGAGCAGATGAGCAGACAACATGCTTTCACACGTGGGTGAGTGAAAGGAAACACAGGAGACAAGAGGCAACCGCAGGTGAGCGGCTGGAAAACCAGTGACATGCAAGCAAGAATGAAGGACGGAAGGACAGCAGCCATGGGAGCACCAGGAGCAGCGTGCCAGGCAATGAGCGGCACCTGCAAAGCTCCTGTGGTACCAGGCACACACATGGTGCACATACACACAGGTGGGGGAAACACTCACACACATAAAATAAATAATTTTTAATTTTATAAGAGAGAATCAGCTTGGTTAGGTGATAATTTCTTTATTTAAAAATAGAGTCCTTGTGAGTTGTGGTAAAGGACAAACTGTTATTCTAACAGTGAGAGAGAGAACACTACTGGAAGTTTCAATTATGCCCTATTTAGTCTGCTCCTTATTCTGTTTTTTTTTTTTTAATACTTATTATTTGTGTGGGCATGTGCACCACAAGCATGCAGTACGCACAGATGCCAGAAGAAGGCGTCAAATATCCTGGAACTGGACTTACAGGCACTTGTGAGGCCCAATGTGGGTGCTGGGAACTGAACCCAGGCCCTCTGGAAGAGAAGTCAGGGCTCTGAACTGCTGAGCCATCTCTCCAGCCCTGTTCCTTGTCCCTCGTTCTCACTTTCCTACCTCCCAAACCACAATCACTTGTTCTCACATTCTGTGTGTCAGCCACACATCCATAGCACCTTAGAGCTAAGGAATGTAACCCCTTCAGTGATCAAATGTTTTCTCTTCTGGGGGTTTCTCCTTGGGAATGCACCTCTGTTCCTATGATGAGACAATTTATTGATCAGAAAGTGGTTTCTGCCTCGAGCAAAATTTACCGGAACATATCTAGTCCTTGAAAATGATATTGGTTACACAAATCTAATTATAATCTAGGCATCGTTTTTTGTGGCCTTTCAGAATGATGTCTTGCTATTGGGTAGCCAATTAACTAAAGTAAAAGTCCTCTGCAGTGTATCACTTTAAAGCTATAGATTGATTTACACATTTTTATGACCATCAGAATCATACTCTGGTGTGAGGCAAGCTTCCAAGATGTTGATAAATAATTAAATGAAATTACAGGTGCTACTGAGTTCTCTAAATAGTAATAAACCCAAATACAACATTAAAGACTGGGTTACCACTAAATCACACATGAACTCTTTATTAGTGTGTTAAATGCAGGTGGAGACAATGGAAAATTAGATAATCAAAGCAAAAAGTAAAGTTTTTCTGCCTACATTTTAAATTCTTTTCCCATAAACCATCAGAAAGCTATTTGTAGTAGTTGAAGGAATAGCTTACTGTGGCTCATCGTTCAAGGGGTACAGTTGGCTGTGGTCAGGAAGCCAGGGCAGAAGGAGGTAAGCTGGCCACATAGGACTCAGTCAGGAAGTGGGGGACGCTGGTGCTCAGCCCACTTTCTCCTTTTTATTTAGTCCAGGGCCCAGCTCATGGGATGGTGCTTCCCACATTCAAGGTCTTCCATCTTCAGTTAAGACCTAGAAACACCCTCACAGACATGCCCTGAGGTGAGTCTCTTCAGTGATGTTACTCTGGCCCAGATTGAGAGAAGACCATCTTTACACTGCCTCTTGTTTAATGCAAAGCATTCTTAGTCTTTATTTTTTAAAGTTTCATACATGTATATAGTATATTGTGATCATATGTGCCCTCCATTACCCTCTCTAATTTACCTCTCACTCCTGCAGCCCCCTGTTCTTCTGTCGAAGAATATTATTTTAAGATGTGTTACATTTGTTTGTACTGTGGAACATTCGTTTTAATGATGCAAAGATGTGTTGCATTCTTTTATGTTGCATTTGTTTAACTCTGTGAATTTGTGTTAACTCTTGTGCCTGTCTAAAATACCTGATCAGTCTGATAAAGATCTGAACAGCCAATAGCAAGGCAGGAGAAAGGATAGGTGGGGCTGGCAGGCAGAGAAGATAAATAGGAGAAATCTGGGAGGAAAAGAGAAAAGATTGAGGAACAAGAGAGGAAGGAGGAGGATTTCAGGGGCCAGCCGCCCAGCTGCCCAGCCACACAGCCACATAGCCACACAGGCAGACACGGGGTAAGAGTGAAAGTAAGATATACAGAAGAAAGAGAAAGGCAAAAGCCCAGAGGCAAAAGGTAGATGGGATAATTTAAGTTAAGAAAAGCTGGCTAGAAACAAGCCAAACCAAGGCCAGGCATTTATAATTAAGTATAAGCCTCCACCAGGTAGTGATGGCACATGCCTTACATCCCAGCACTTGGGAGGCAGAGGCATTTGAGTCTCTGAGTTCAAGGCCAGCCTGGTCTACAGAGGGTGTTCCAAGAGAGCCAGAGCTGCATAGAGAAACCCTTCTCAAAAAACCTAATTAAATAAATAGATAAATAAATAAATAAATAAATAAATAAATACCGGAATAAGCCTCCATGTGTGTTTTATTTGGGAGCTGGGAGGTGGCCCCAAAAGAGCAAAAACAACCAAGAACATTTTGGCATTCCAACATGGGGTCATAGAAAGCTGAACATCTTCCTCCCAATTAGGCCTGTCGTTTTGTTTTGTTTTGTTTTGTTTTGTTTTGTTTTGTTTTGTGCTGTGGATATCATTCTGTATAAATAAAACACTGATTGACCAGGGGCCAGGCAGGAAGTATAGGTGGGACAAGGAGAGAGGAAAATTCTGGGAAGTAGAAGGCTGAGTGGGAGACACTGCCAGCCGCCACCGCCATGACCAGCAGCATGTGAAGATGCCAGTAAGCCACGAGCCATGTGGCAAAGTATAGATTTATGGAAATGGATTAATTTAAGATACAAGAACAGTTAGCAAGAAGCCTGCCACGGCCATACAGTTTGTAAACAATATAAGTCTCTGTGTTTACTTGGTTGGGTCTGAGCAGCTGTGGGGCTGGCAGGTGAGAGAGATTTGTCCTGACTGTGGGCCAGGCAGGACTGGAGAAAATTCCGGCTACAGTTTTGTTTTTGAGACAGGGTTTCTCTGTGGAGACGTGTCTTTTTGTTTATTTGTTTGTTTGGTTTGGTTTGGTTTGGTTTGGTTGAGACAGGGTGTCTCTGTGGAGGCCTGTCCTTTTGTATGTTCTGGCTGTAGGCAGGTAACCACAGCTGCTGTGTGCTCACGAATTCAACATCATGTCCTATCCAGAAGACAGCAGTTCTCAGGGCTCCTCTACCAGCCTCTAGCTCTTACAATCTTCCCACCCCTGTTCTGAAATGGGTCTTTGGGGATGATAGAGATGACCCCATTTGAGCCTGAGCAAATGCACACATATTTAATTCAACAGAACAGAAAAAAGAGGTTCCAGTCATGGCTTAGAGTCAATGAGATTCTGCAGAGACTTGACTCTCAGTAAGCACCCAGGAGTCCTTGTTTCTTGGTCAGATCAGTGACTTAGCTCTTGAGAGGAGGGGAGGGGATGGGAGGGGAAGAGAGGGGAGAGGAGTGGAGAGGAAGGAAGGAGTAGATCACCCACAGTGGCACAATGCAGGGACTCTAGAGAGCATATAAATATCTACCCAGGCAGGTGACTGTATGTGTGCATGTATGTGCACATGCTCAAATGTGTTTGCTTGGCAGGAAAATGAGTGTTTTCAGGGCAGACCCCCACCCTGTGATCTGAGCTCCAGGTGCCAGATGTGTGCCAGCCACTGTCTTATACCGTCACCACCACAAAGTCACCTGCTGCTAGGCCTTCCTTGCCATGATGCCCTCAAACTGAGCCCAGATAAACAACAGCTCCCTTCTGTGGCTCCTTGACAGGCTTTGATCACAGCTACAAGAAAAGTAACTAGTTCAGGGGACCCAAGAAGAGTGGGGAGGAGTGAAACCTACCGAGCTCAGGTTTCACTCCACTGACCCTGTGCTCATCCAGGCAGGTGCTGTGCAGGATGTCTCCAGTGCTACATCCCCGAATGCCTGAATAGAGTTCTGGATCTGTGTCCTTTCCCGGTGAGACAGGAATGCCACTCTCTACACTGCCATCCTACTGGAATGTAGTGAAACTGGAAGTATGACCCCAGCGGCAGCATTTCAGCCAGAAAGAACTAGGTTCATCACCAAGATGTAATAGAGATGCCTATTATATATTATATGGCATGTACCTAAATACATGATATGCTTAAGGGCCTGTTTAAACTGTCAGTTTGTTCCTGTATCTTGACATATTATTTATTATCTAGCTAATCTGTCTACATATTCTTTTTCAACCTTTCTTAATCTGAAGCTGAATTCCAAAGCCAGCATATTTTAACACATTCTTCATGAAGAAAAAAAAAATTGTTTTCTTGCCAAAACACTTTCAAGCTCTCGGGAAATAACTCAAAACCTGGGTTTACACACTGGGTCCATTCTTAAAACTACAGCCTGGCAGCTGAGGGTACAGCCAAGTCATAGTGCCCAGCTGGTGCCCAGTTTGTTCCCCAATGCAAAAAATAGAAAGAAAAAGAAAACAAACAAAAACACTGTAAGTTTGAGTGTCTCCCTTGGCTTCTCAGTCTCTGTCCCTTATCTTAACTCAATACTATTTAAACTGAGTTGATTTGTGAAAACCGTTAAGCTTGAAACAAAGTGGGTGCATGCTGAGTGTTGTTCGCTTGCCTCTGACACCGTCCACCTCCTCATCAGTCACCTTGAGCCCTGAATCTCAGGTCCTTCCTCCCAGCCCTCTCTCAAGCCATACGCCCTCATGAACTAAACTCAGCAATTGGTGGCACACACCTTTAATCCCAGCACTTGAGATGCAGAGGCAGGCGGAACTCTGAGTTCAAGGCCAGCCTGGTCTACAGAACGAGTTCTAGGACAGCCAGGGCTACACAGAGAAACACTGCTCAAAAGAGCAAACAACAACAACGAAGAAAAACCACCGGCTACACACAGATCCTTCTACTAGATAAGAAACACATGACTAAAATGCCAGGTGATCAATAATGTAGCCTTATGTCAAACATTTGCACTATTAAACCCAATGCAAAATATTACAGATTTTTAAAGATTGTATTTTGTGTGTGTTTGTGTTTTGCCTGCATGTGTGTATGTACACCCATGTGACTTCAGTGCCAACAAAGGCCAGAAGAAAGGGACATTGGATTCCCCAGGCCTGGAGTTTCAGCAGGACATTAAATTGCCTGTGAGTACTGAGAATTGAACCTAGGTCCTCTGGAAGAGAAGCCAGTGTACTTACCACTGAGACATCTCTCCAGACTCTATTACATATTTTTAAGACAAAGTGAGACTTGAAATAATTTCACTAGCGGATTACAGCTTTTGGCTAATCCCTAGACCAACACAAGCCACGCCTGTCCTCCACAGCTCAGGCTGCCCTAGGACCATGGCAGCCTTTCCAAAATCCTCACTCTTTGGTCCTACCCAGTTGCATAGACACACACATCTGAACACTTGGTCCCCAGCAGGGAGCAGAGTTGTGGAAGGCTGAGCCTTCAGGTAGAGCCTCCCTGGAGGAAGTGGGTCACTAGGGGTGGGCCTTGAGGTTTTATAACCCAATCTGTTTGTTCTAGCTTCCTGTTCTGCCAAGAGGCCAGGGGTTGCTATGTGCTTTGCCCTCCATGATAGTCTGAACACCTTCAAACTATGGGTCCAAAGTAGCCCTCGAGTTTCTTCTTGTCAGGAATTTGGTCACAGGGAAGAAAAGTATCCAATCCGATTACTCTGTCTACATAAAATGCCTGTTCCCCTACAGATGCAGATGGCTCCCCAACCCCTGAGCATGTCATTCCTCTGCACACCCCACCCCACCCCTCCCCTCAGACCCTTCTGTTTCAGGTGCATGTTGGATCTTGGCCAAAAGAGATATCTTAGTAGGTGTGCTCGTAGCAAGGCTGCACCTCCCAAGAACCTGCTCAGCAGACGCCAGGACCATGTGCAGGTAAACAGCATCCCTGCAAGTCTAACACTTAAGAACAAGCACCTGTTCAGCTCAACTGTCCTTACAAATGGTTCTCTGAGCTGCTCGCATAAAGCTGGTCCCTGCAAAGTCCAATTTCCGCCTCCTCAGTCTACACTTTACCCAACGCCTCTGGGGCTCAGGCTCGGACCCACCTGGTTCTTCCTGTAGTCCTGCTGCGAATGCCTCAGCACGCGGTAGCAGAGCCGCAGCACGTACTTGTAGGGGGCATAGCGCTGGTCACCCAGGTCCTCCAGCCTCAGCATTGAGCCTTCTCCTGCCTTCTCCTTGAAAGGTGCTTTGAGGATCCCAAACACCTAGAAGAGTAAGAAGATCCTTCTGCTTTGATGCATGCTTTGCAACCTATTTGCAGTTTTAACAAGTAGCACAGACTTAAAAGCACTGTAGAAATATGTGAGTGGAATTAGTGCAAAGGTGGAAGGTACTTAATGGTTGTTAGTCCTGAATAATAAATAACACACTGTCGAACCAAAAACCCACTGCTTACAAGAGTAACCAAAGTCAGCAAGTCCACTACATCAGTGACATGATTAATTTTATTTAGATATTGTATTTCATTAAGGTGTTTGCATCAAGCTACATGGATATATTCAGATGAATTAAAATGTATTTTCTATATGCTTTTATTATTCTGTTATTTTTCTGTAATTTTCCCAAATCAAAATAATATAGGAAAAAAAATGCTTACGTTTTACCTGAAACTTACATCAGGTAACAGCTTCCAAATGTCACTCTCACCTCATTTTAGGCAAAAGGAAATAACTCCAAACACATAGGCACCTAACAACAGAGATTCTAAATACATAAAACTCTTTCTCAGAGTTCATCCACTGTTCACAGTATGCAGGTAAGTGGCCGTGGGAATGAATGCATCAACTTTGAAGTCTTAACAAGCAGCCACAGAAGCAATCAGGAAGACACCTCCACCCCCACACTCCCACCCCTGCATCCCCACCCTCGCATCCCTGCCCCCATTCCCAGGGAGCCACATTCTTTCCTTCTGGAGAGGAACCAGCAAGCTAAGTTCTCTGTGGAGGAACATGAGATCAAGGCCATGAGCCTCAAAACAAGAATTCAAAATGGAAAGGAATTGTCCCTTGGAGTTCATGAAATATGACAGTGTGGTTCTTTGAGGCTTTTGTGTTCTCAAAGAAGTTTCTTTTTGCAACAGGTGGAGACTTACAGAGATCCACAGATGGTCAAAATATAGACAAAGTCCCTGGGGCCCAAGTCTAATGAATACATCTGCATACACCCTACATCTTCGTCTCAGAAAGTCACGGAAGAAGAGGTGGAAAGATGGCAGGGCCAGAGGGGACACCCACTGAGAGAGTGTCTTCTGTGTGCCAGGGGACCTGTACCTATGAATGCTAAACAACACAGTTGCCTTCCAGTGGTCAACACTGGACACAAATGAGCAATGCTGAATGGACTCAGCAGGTTGTATGTACATATGTATGTATATACATGTCATAACAATAAGGGAGAGATCATGAGTTTGGAGAAGAGAGAAGCTGTGGGGGAGAGTGGGTCAGACATGATAAATGCAGTCAGTGTTTATGTGTAGAGTTCTTAAAAGTAAAATTACTTTTAAAAAGAATTTTATGTTCCCTAAACCTTGAATTTTATATTTATATTATGAGATAAAAGGCTGGACATATCAGTTAATATATTCATAATTCACTCAAGGTCCTAAAAGTCCCTGAAATCAAATGCTTTCTAAAAACAATTGACTGACAACAGAAAGACTTTGTCCCTTAGGCCTGTGATCTTTATTTCAGAAAGGCACTGTTTTCAGACGATCTGTAGATGTCAACGACAATGTATCTTCAGTTTTCCTTCCCACACTCAGCAGTATGTTAATGCTAATTATTAATTAATGCCATGATTTTTGCGTTAAGTGTCCATATGTGGTTAATATAAAAGCTAATTATTTTAAGAAGCAAGTAAAACAATAAAAAGAACATGTAACTGCAGGAATGTCATATGCAGGTTACTAGAAAACCAATTAATTTACTGGTATGTTACGCACTTCAGAGTTCTGTACTAAACTGCTATGCCTTCCTAGAGCAGACAGAAGTATGTGGCAAGGTTCCAAAGTCACCTGAAAGTTTGTTTCTTGAGATGCTCTGACCACACCAGGTATTTTGGAGATCTGTGGTGGGTACCTCTGAACTAGCCTCAAATGGTCCCTAATTTCTGCCATCTATGTCCCTGTGGAATTCTCTCTCAGCTTCTACCCAATCACACAGAACTGATGGATATGGGATCTATAGTAATGTTTTTAAAACTCTATGGCTCGTCTAGATGCCCTCTCTCCTCTCTGGAATCCCTCACTTTCCAGGGAAATGTCTTAGTTTGGAGGTTGAAGCCCATCATAAAGAGGAAGGCACAGCGGGGGCTCCAGACAGTTGCTTTCGCTGTGTCCACAGCCAAGAGAGGAGAGCAAAGAGTGTGGTGCTCAGATCTTTCTCCATTTTCCGCAGTCTGGGATCTCCACCAGGGGATCAGCCTGGCTATAGTTAATGAGTCTTCCTACATCAACTAACCTAATCAGCACAATCCCTTACAGGCTCAGCAGCCCATCTCCCAGTGATTCTCCAGCCATCAAGCTGCAGTTCACACTAATCATCACCGGAAGCCAACACTAACCATCACCAGAAACCAACACTATCACCTGAAGCCAACACTAACCATCACCAGAAGCTAATACTCACCACCATCACTGGAGGAAATGCTTTGTCTTGAGGCAGACAGCTAGGAAGTGGATCTCCACTCAGTCCACTCTTGAGATGACAGCGGCCATGCCAAACACCTTGACAGTGCCTCTGAGAATGCCCCTGAGCAAACACCACCCACAGACACCGCCTTCACATTTAAAACTCACAGAAACTGAAATAAGTGTCGAAGTGTCACTTGTTACACAGCAAGGCATGACTGATACTGTAACTCAAAACAAAATACGCAAATTTCATTCATGAAGCCACTCACCTGTGCCAGGATGTTTTGTTCCCTCATTAGTTTTTGCCGTTCCCGATTTGGCTTGATGATGACCACATCCAGAACATCCTGTCCATTGTTAGTCACATCTGCCACAAAGAAGATGAGGTCTTCCAACAACTTAGTTACAAACCTATCCCAAAGAAAAGATTGTGACAATTTTGGACTATTAAAAATTAAGTCTGAGAAACACTAAGAAAGTTAAACTATTTTTAAGAAAACATATTTAATCAACAAAATATAATATCTAATGTAATTGCTACTTATTTTGACAATATTTCCTGTCGAGTTCCTCCCACCCTCCATTCCAATTCCAACTCTAATCAAATATTGCAAATGGTTAATAAATAAAATCCTGTGAGTCTCAGGAAGAAATGGGCTTGGAAGATGATGGCAGAGGTATGACTGGATGTCCCCAAACATTGTTCCTGAAGCAAACCACACAACTGTGCCTGGATGTCCCCAAACATTGTTCCTGAAGCAAACCACACAACTGTGACTGGATGTCCCCAAACATTGTTCTTGATGCAAACCACACACCTGTGCCTGGATGTCCCCAAACATTGGTCTTGATGCAAACCACACACCTGTGCCTGGATGTCCCCAAACATTGTTCCTGAAGCAAACCACCCAACTGTGCCTGGATGTCCCCAAACATTGTTCCTGAAGCAAACTACACAACTGTGCCTGGATGTCCCCAAACATTGTTCCTGATGCAAACCTCTGGCAGCAGGTAACATCAGCAGGCTAAAGTGAGACTGACTCTGAATGCGTCTCTGCTCAACGGACATTTAGCTTGAACATAAGTATTTTCTCTTGCTGATTCCAAAACTAGAATAAGGTGTTTGGACATGAAAAACAAAAGGCTCAGCTGTGTTGTAACTCTAGATTACTCTTTAAAACGGTAGCCGTTAATGAGATAATAAGCAGAACATTATTTTTTTTTTACTTTTTATTTTATCATATAAATATCTATGTGGGTGTTTAGCCCAAGGAGGCCAGAAGAGGGCATCAGATGCCCTGGAGCTGGAGTTACATACAGATGATTGTGAGATGCTATGTGGGTCCTGGGAACTGAACCTTAGTCCTTTGGGAGAACAGCCAGTGCTTTTAACCACCGAGCCATCTCCAGCTCAAGAACATTAAGTCTTGATGGAGGGTCACTACGCATTATTCCTAACGGATAGAGGTGCCTTTGGTGATGATGAGGATGACAGCCAAAGACACCAAGCTTCTTGCTCACTCGTTTGTTTATATGTCAAGAAAAAAACAAAACGAACAACAACAAAACCACCTGATGGTTGTCGTCAGCTAAATTCAGACTTCATAACTCATGCAATCTTACTAATTTTTTTCTAATAAACGATTTCCTCTGTGACTTAGTTTAAAGCAATTCCTTCAAATTCAAACATTCTACCCTGCCTGGAGGGAGAAGGGGGCTCATGAGACTGAGAAAGTAACACAAAACCTCACATGTCTGGGAAGCTGAGACCTTCGAGGTTCACAAGACTGCTGCCAGGGTTCTAGGACTATGGGGGATGCTGGGAAGAGAGGCTGTGGGGCTCGTGGAGCTGCCGACAGGGAGTTCTCAATGCAGCTGCATGAGTCATCATCCCTGCTGGGGTGGTTCTCCTGATGCAGCTGCTCCTGAGTCACCCCCATCCACACCCCAATTATCAGCTCTTCAAGTGAGACCTGACTGGCATCATTATTTTGGTCTGACACAGGTTCCCTATCTGGGGTGAGTAGCTGTCTGCTCACATAGCCCTAAGAAAAGCCGTGCAACAAACTTCCTGTCAGATTGAGCAAAGTTGGATAAGAAATATATTATGTATTTAAAGGACACACACCTGAGAATATAAAAGGCCACATGGGTCAAGAACAAAGTGGGAATAACTCAGCCAAGAGTAAGCTAATGTGGTGGAGCTGCAGGGATGCGGGAGGGGCCAAACGGAAGCTGTGGAGGAAGTGATGGAGAAGCGTTCCTCTTGCGGAAAGCCTCAAAACTCCAGAGCCCTGTGTGGGCTGCAGTAAGGCAGATGCCGAGGGGACAGGAAGCACACCGACGGAGCTTCCGCCTGTGGTCATGATGGCTCGCATGCCTCACCTCAGTCAGCACAGGGTATGAGTTCTCACCCTCAACACCACCCCTCAGCCTGGACTGGTGGAGAGGAGTCAGGAGCTGTCCGCCTGTGCTCACAATGGCTCGCATGCCTCACCTCCGCCAGCACAGGGTATGAGTTCTCACCCTCAACACCACCCCTCATCCTGGACTGGTGGAGAGGAGTCAGGTGAAGGCCGAGCCAGCAGATAGAAAATGAATGAACACAGAGAGAAAAAGCAATAATGATCCACCCAAGGAAAGCCCACATAATTAAACCTCAAAACACACAGAAAACTGACATTCGGAAAGACAGCCATCATGCTAAAAATGAGAAAGCTGATTCATCGCTAATAAGATTCAAATGACAAAGTCATTCCTAAGTGACATTTAAATGAGTGTGTTGTCAGTCTTCAACAGATAGAGAAAGAACTTACCACAAAATATACATATAATTTGAAATAGTAGATATGAATGAAGAGTAGGTGGGTAGGCAAAGAACCAGCAGAAATCTGAGAAATAAAAAGTATACATATAATCACCTAATAAAAGTCCAGGTTATAAGAAAAATTAGCAGTTATAAGACAGTATCGAAAGGATACAGACAATAGCATATAGAGATTTTTTTAAAGAAGATTATAAAAGAGAAGTTAAAGAGTTCAAGGGGATCGTTGGCTACACAGAGAGTTCAAGGACACCCTGGGCTCTAGGAAACCTGGTCTCACAAAAAGAAAGGAAGGGGGAATGGAGAGAAGAGAGAACAGAGAGAAGGAATAAGGGAGAGAGGAAAGGAAGGAGTTAGAGAGGAAGAGGAAGAGGGCAGGGGAGGAAGAGAAGGAAGAAAGAAGAGAAGGCGAGATGGAAGAGGGAGGAAAGAGGGAGGAAGGGAGGGAGGGAGGGAGGGAGGGAGGGAGGGAGGAAGGGAGGGAGGGAGGGAGGGAGGGAGGGAGGGAGGAAGGAAGGAAGGGAGGGAGGGAGGGAGGGAGGGAGGGAGGGAGGGAGGGAGGGAGGAAGGAAGGAAGGGAGGGAGGGAGGGAGGGAGGGAGGGAGGAAGGAAGGAAGGAAGGAAGGAAGGAAGGAAAGGAGGGAGGGAGGAAGGAAGGAAAGGAGGGAGGGAGGAAGGAAGGAAGGAAGGAAGGAAGGAAGGAAAGGAGGGAGGGAGGGAGGAAGGAAGGAAGGAAGGAAGGAAGGAAAGGAGGGAGGGAGGGAGGAAGGAAGGAAGGAAGGAAGGAAGGAAGGAAGGAAGGAAGGAAGGAAAGGAGGGAGGGAGGAAGGAAGGAAGGAAGGAAAGGAGGGAGGGAGGGAGGAAGGAAGGAAGGAAGGGAGGGAGGGAGGAAGGAAGGAAGGAAGGGTACATCATAATTTATATGACGTGTTGATAAGAATCACCACTCCGCTCTGTTTGTTACATGAAGACATGGTGGTCTTCTTAAGGTTCTGAGTTTAGAAGCAAGTGTAGCATGGTCTTGGGCTGGCTGGACAAACATTCTGCCACTGAGCCATGTTCCCAGCCTCTAGCTGCATGAAGACACGGGCACAACAGCCTTCACCTTTGCAGCAACCTGGAGCACATCTGTGTGGCCAGCACCGGGCACCTATCAAGAGCTCAGTCTCACCGAATGAGCTGCATCAGCCGACCCTCTGTGGACAAATTAGGTCCCACAGAGTGCAGCACGGTACAGAGACAGAAGTGTGTGCTGTGCCTTCTCAGGCTCCAAGTAGCAGTTGGCACCTCATGCCCCTCCTCCCATGACGGACACAACCCTCATACTCTGCTTTCTTGGTGCAGTCATGTAGAACACAAAGAGAAAATTCAAATGAAAACATCTAAGGCTGAGGAGGCTGGAGCCTGACACAGGTCTGCACCCACAGAGTCCCTTCCTGGGGTGACTACAGAAAGCACAGTGGGGAGAAGAGCGAGATCTAACAGCACAGGCCCTTGGAGGCAGGTCTGCAACATTCTAAAACCCCCCCTTTGACCTTGGTTTTGAATAAAAAGAATAGCTAATAATAACTTCACTCTCAGTGGGGGATCAGGGCTGCCAGTGATTCTCAGAAAGAGTTTTCTGCTGAATTCTAAACTGAAGGACTAAGAGTCCATTCACTTCTCTGTAGCATGGACTACATCAGGATGAGGGGTGAATCAGTAAATGCAACTTCCCAGTTCTCAGGCACAGTCTCCTTGCTATTATTTTTCACTAAAGCAGAAGAGAAAGAAAGTGACAGGAGAAACTTTAAAAAAAGAAGAAGAAGAAAGAAAAAAGAAAAAGAAAAAACTGGGTCAAGGGTCATCCTGATCCACCATCCTCCTGAGACACATCAGGAAGGACTGAGTTCCCTCCCACAAGAACTGGGGAAGAATGGCCTGTAGAAAGAAGCACCCAGAGAGGCCCAACACTCAATAGATACTTCAAGTTTACCAAAGGAGACCTCTTAGAGAAGCGTGTCACTTCCTGTGAATGCAGGAGAGGGACAGACAGAAATGAATTCATCAAGAGAGGCACAAGAGAAAAACACCCCATCTGCACAGTGAAATCCACTTCTGTTGTGACTTAGCTCTGGTCTCCTGTAGCCATGTGAGTTGCCAGTGTCTGCTTCTGGCCTCCTTCATTGGCCACCACAGGGTAGCTATATGAGGACAGTTGTCAAACACAGGCTCCCACAGGGAAAGCAGTGGTAGGAACAGAGGAAGCCGGAAACCATTTGACTGTTCGTCAGCATACTGACAACGTTTAATTAAGAGGTATACATATGGTGTATGTCTAAAGGTCTCTGGAATTTATGAACTTAGAGACAGAACACTCACAGACTGTTATGGTGGGTTTATCCATCCTGTTTCCTTCCTACTCAATTCAAAACTTGTTAGAGTCACGCACATCATCACACATATGTATAGTTCACTCCTATTCCTGGCTATTCTATTGTATGAGCACAGTACAATTTTATCATTCTTCTACTATGACCAACATGGATGGCCTTCAGTGAGGGGGGGCTAGAACAAGGCTGGACATTTCTGCCCTTCCATTCTGGGAATTCTTTTGAACAGATGTTCAAGAATGTCCAACTGAGGAACGAAGCCAGTGAGCCACAGCATTTTCTTCTCTGACTTAGCCTGTTGTGGAATATTATTTTAAGATGTGTTACATGTGTTTGTGCTGTGGAACACTTGTTTAATGATGCAAAGATGTGTTGCATTCTTTTATGTTGCATTTGTTTAACTCTGTGAAGCTGCTACTTTGCCTGCCTAATACACCTGATTGGTCTAATAAAGAGCTGAACGACCAATAGCAAGGCAGGAAAAAAGGATAGATAGAGCTGGCAGGCAGAGAGAATATATAGGAGAAGTCTGGGAGAGAAGATCAAGAAACAAGAAAAAGAGGAGAGGAGGGCTTGAGGGGCCAGCCACCCAGCTACATAGCAAGACATGGAGTAAGAAGTAAAAGTATACAGAAATAGAGAAGGTAAAAGCCCAGAGGCCAAAGGTAGTCGGGATAATTTAAGGTAAGGAAAGCTGGCAAGAACTAAGCCAGGCTAAGGCCAGGCATTCATAAGTAAGACTAAGACTCCGTGTGTGATTTATTTTGGAGCTGGGTGGTGGGCCCCCAAAAGAGCAAAGAACAAAGAATAAAAGAGTAAAGAGTGGGCTGGAGAGATGGCTCAGAGGTTAAGAGCACTGGCTGCTGTTCCAGAGGTCCTGAGTTCAATTCCCAGCAACCACATGGTGGCTCACAACCATCTAGGATGAGTTCTGGTGTGTAGGCATACATGCCGGAACTCTGCATACATAATAAATAAATAAATTAAAAAAAAAAAGAGTAAAGAGTAAAAAAACAGCTACATTTGTCATTCCTGGCTGGGCTGTTTGGCGAGGGGCTTGTTATGGCAATGCTTGGAGGCGAGAACACCAATGCACACAGCCAGAGACTCGGCAAATGACTCCTTATTGTTCAAAGGCTACAGCAGATCATGGTGTGTGTGGCACGTGTGGTGGGGGGGCGTCTTTGCTCTGAGGTCCTGAGAGCACCCAACTGTCAATCACATGAGTGGATCCCCCACTTACTATTTATGTACTTTTACCCGGTGGAGTTTAACCCCCACTTCCTTTAGGCAAAATGGGAACTGCTATTGGAGTGCTATGTGAAGGATTAGGGCACAAAGTGGAGACATGATGACTTCTAGCTATCAATAGCCTTCTTTTTCTCACATACTTATGAATAAATGAATAATCAATCAAGGACCCAGTTTCTCTGAGTGAGTGACATAAGCAGAGAGCACACTTTCTTTTCTGATATTACATGTTTGATCAGTCTGTGGTGTCAGAGCTGAGAAATATATCATGAATCCAAAAAATACAAAACTCTACATCTAAATACCAAATCAAGCATGGTCCTGTAAATCTTTAAAAAACTTTCAAAAAAAAAGAACAGAGAGAAACTGAAATCATCTATTTTCAAGCCAAGATAAAATGGAAAAAATAAGTATTCCATCAAACATTTCTAGGTTTATTTTTTATTTTTATTTATGTGTGTGTATCTGTATGTGTATATGTGCATGTGAGTGCAGTGCCTGTGGAGGCCAGAGGATGGTGCAAGGCCCTTGGACCTAGCGTTACAGGTAGTTATGAGTCATCTGCTGTGGGTGCTGGCAAGCATTCTTCACTGCTGAACCATCATCAGAAGCCAGGCTGCTGCTATGGAGAATATTCTAAATGTTCTGTTAGAGTCATTTGGTTTACTATAAGAACTGACAATTGTGTGTGTGTATGTGTGTGTGTGTGGTAGCGGTGGTTGTTGTTGCTGCTGCTGCTGCTGATGATGATGATGATGTTTAGGAGATTAGATGGTTTTTTTTTCACTAGTTTTGAGGGATAAGGTCTCATGTAGCCCAGGCGGGCTTTGAGCTTGCTATGCAGCTGAGGATGACCTTGAACTCCTGATCTTGCAGCCTCCACCTCCTGAGTGCTGGAATCACAAGCCTGCACTCCCACACCCAGGTCTACAGTTGACCCTTAAGGATTCAGTGTCACATTTGAAATCCACTCACCTCCTCTCGTTCTGAGTGATGCTGCCGTTCTCCAGCTTTTTGACCGTGGTTGCCAGCACTTTGTTGGCATCATTGGCGAAGTCCAAGTCTCGGACCTCAGACAGCGGGACACACACGATGGCAAAGGCTTCTTTGTCTTCTTTAGTCTGACAGGTTCCAATCTGCAATATGTGTTTCCATTAAACAACTGCACAGTCTCTAGAGACCATGATCCTCAGTACCCAGATACACTGGGTGGGTGCGGACAAGAGAGAGAAACTCCAGGAAACATCATCCTCAACAAAAGGCTTTCCATGCCCATTTCTTGCCCTGTTCCTGAAGAGACCCCAAAGAGTGTTTCTTTCATTCGCCACCCCTCTGTCTCAAATAATTCCAAGTAGAGAAGATGCCCCTGGAATCCTCTCATGCCCTTTTGATATCTGCATCCCACCCTGCTGAACCATAGCCCTGCCATCCAGGTCAGAGACCTGAGCCACTGGTAGACATTCCCTCCTACGAAATCAGCTGCAACCAGTTCTAACGGCTGAAAAGATGGACCATCAGTCACACTCAGTCCTGTGAACGCAGCAGCCGGCAGACAAACCAGCCCCAGCCGCACTTACTTTCAGCATGACGGGCCTCTCTTCCTCCGTGTCTATAGGGATGCTGGTACTTGTTACCCACGTATTGGTGCATAAATGCCTTAACCGCACATAGGAGTTCCTAAAAGCAAATGATATAAAAACATGGAGAGCTGACAAGAGGGCTCAGAGGACAAAGGGGCTTGCTACCCAGTGATGAGGACCTAAGTTCAATCCCCAGAACCCACTGAAGATGGAAGGCAAGACCACCTCTACAAAGCTGTTCTCTGACCTACAAACAGACAATATTTTTAATTACCACCCTCTGCATATTGACATATTCAGCAAATCCATGTATGATATGAACATTAAATATCATAGACTAGTAACTGTCTCAGGATCTATATGGAATAAGAAATAATTCTTAGATTCAGGCTGCTCTGGAGCACAAAGCTTCACTTCCTGGGCCAGGGGCTCCTGGGCCATCAGCATCACCAGGAACCTTGTCAAAAATGCAAATTCTAAGACCTCACTGGTCCAACGTGGGGTGTGGCCAGCAAAGACCAGTGTGTCCCCAGAAAGCTACTAACCTAAATGTACCTATAGCCTGTGGTGGTTTGAAAGAAAATGGTCCCCCAAAGGGAGTGGCACTATTAGGAGGTGTGGCCTTTGGGGAGTAGGTGTGGTCTTGTTGGAGGAAGTATGTCACTGTGGGGGTGGGCTTTGAGGTCTTTTTCTCAAGCTTCCCTCAGTGTGGCAGTCAGTTGACTTCCTGTTGACTACAAGATGTAGCACTCCCAGCTCCAGCACCGTGTCTATCTGCATGCCAAAATGCCCCCCTTCATGATTATGATGGACTGAACCTCTGAAACTGTAAGTGAGCCACCTCAATTAAATGTTTTCCTTTATAAGAGTTGCCATGGTCATGATGTCTCTTCACAGCAATAAAACTCTAAGACATAGCCCCTGAATCACCAAGTTGCTGTGGCCATTGAGGGCATACTTAGAGCAGCTAAATAAATAAATAGTTCTGAATCATCCAAAAGCCACAATTCCAAGATAAGGCTGAGCAGTCAGCTGCTTGGACTTCTAGCTCAGACCTCACACCATAAACCACATCTTTTGTTCCCTTAGTGACGCTTCTCAGATTTCTGGGGGTTTGTTGGTAGTCGTGGTGTTTAATTCGGGAGCACCGACTCTAGTTCCTAAGTGAGAAAATGAAAACAATTGTCAGGGTGACGGGGAGAGGAGAGGAGGAGGGCGGGGAATAAGAACAAAGTCTGGTGACGTGTACAGGAAGATGCCACTGTGAAGCCATCACTGTGTACGCTAACTTTAAATTTAAGATTTTATTTTAAATTTGTGTACATCATTGAGTGTAGTGCCCATAGAGGCCAGAAGGGGGCACCAGATCCCCTGGAGCTGGAGTTACAGGAGGTTGTGAGCGACCTGTGTGGACACTGGGAACTGAACTCAGGCCCTCTAGAAAAGCAGTATGCAGTGGTTCTTAACCACTGCACCGTCTCTCCTTCCTCAAAAAAAAAAAAAAAAAAAAAAAGAAGAAGAAAATATTTGTGGTAAATAAGCTTCTTTGGGCATGAGTTATGTCTGTTTGCTACTAATTCAGTGTGAAGAATCAACTACATAAGGTGTCTTTACCAAACACACACACACAAGCTGTGTGCTGACTGGACAGTTGGCAGGTGCATTTCAGCCACAAGCTCACAAGACTCACACCCTGTGTCCTCCAGGGGCAACAGTTCCACACTTGACCATTTCTTGAGTCACCAGTAACAAAAATTACCTGTGTAGGCACCATGGCAGAATACCTGGAGAGGGCACCTAGAGCTCCATTCTACTCAAACAGTGCCTTTCCCACCTCATCCCTTATTCCAACAATTTCTTCAACAAGAGTGCACAGTGCCATTAAAATAAAAAGCCTAGCACTTAGTGTTCAGCCTAAAGCTAAGATGTAAATATGTCATACAACTCAAGGTATAACATTTTAGGACCAAACAGAAGGCAGGACATCAAACGCCTCAGAGAAACTCATCATCAGGGTTCTTGCTCACTCATAATAGTAGATAAAATACACAGTGAGCTTCAATCTAGAATGGCAAGCACCTAACCCTGGTCCAAATAACCAGAAATGCCTGTTTGAGCGCCCAGTATTCTCTGCACTGGCCTAAGTAGGTGATGTCATCTACAACTGCTGTCTCCCCCACTGCCCTAGGCACACTATGTGGTGGCTAGCTCCTCTATTTCACTCTCACATTTTCCACTACAGGTGAGTTTCCTTTCTTCAAAATGCTTGTATGGTGGTTTAAATGATACATGACTCCCATGGGCTCATATGTTTCAATGCTTGGTTTCCAGCTGGTAAGTCTTGCCCCATTATAGTTGGTTTCTCTCTCTCTCTCTCTCTCTCTCTCTCTCTCTCTCTCTCTCTCTCTCTCTCTCTCTCTCTCTCTCTCTCTCTGCCCAGTGGTTATTGCTCAACATGTAAGCTACGGCTACTGCACCATGCCTGCCTGCTCCCATGTTCCCCACAATGATGGTCATGAACTCTAACCCTTTGGAACCATGAATCCCCAAATGCTTTCTTTTACAAGTTGCCTTGGTCATAGTGTCCCTTCACAGCATTAGAAAAGCAAGAAAGGCAGCCTGGAGCCAGAGTAGTTGAGGTTTCAGGTTTTGGGGTTTTTTGTTTTTTGGGTTTTTTTTTTTTTAAAGCATTTCCATGTCATTGTTTAATTAGCTATCTTGGGATAAGACCCAAGTCTAAACATGATGTTCATTTATGTTCCATGTGTGCCTTAGCCATGTAGGCCAAAGGTAATTTTATACCATATTTTAAGTATACCTGCATGTTAGCTGCAATCCATCACGCATAGTCAGGTGTAGGATTCTCTACTTGTGGCATCATATTGGTTCTCAAAAACTTCTTGGGTCACTTCAGATTAGATTTTCAGTTCAGGGATGCCCTCAGCCTGGATGCACCCCTGGAGTCAACCAACACTATTGAGTTGCAAACTGAGTAGATGACACAGAGTAATAACATGATCTATAAGGAATTAGGAGCTAAGTAACTCTGGGACTATGTCACAGGTATTTGCTGGCTGTCAGGTTTGACCTGGTCTGGTTGTCTACGATGTAAGGGCACTGCTGGGGAGTGATGGTTCAGGGCAGACTTTTCATTCCATGCTTCAAGACCAAACTCCACCTTATGAGCACAGACAGGCCAACTAGCTTGTCCTTCTAAGTCACCATCTCCCAAACTCTGCTGTCTGTCACCTGGGAGGCTCTTATAAACCCAAAGTCTAAGTTGTAATGCACACCAGTTAAACCAGTGTCTAGAGTGGGAGGGAGGCATCAGGACTGGTCCTGATTGCTAAGTGTCCACTGGATAGAAAAGACTGGGAACCCTACAATAGTCCCTACTTCTAATCCAAGAAGCCCAGTCTGGGGCTTGCTAGATCACTCACCCAGCCCCACTGCAGACCAAGGAATCACAAACTGTATCTAGCAGATCCCCATGACTGATCCAGGATTTCACCAGGCTAAAGCACCTCTGTGGAACTCTGTCCTCTGAGCATAAGGGCCACTGCCATCTTAATCAGAACAGGTGTGACTGTCCCCCAAGATTGGACCTGTTGTTCCTTCATGGAGAGGTGGGGAGGGGTAATTAAACCCTCAGCTGAGGAAGTCACTACTTCCTTCATTTCCCAACTACATACAGTCTCATGAAGTTCTAGAATACATGGTAGATAAAGGTTAGCTGAAGAGGGGTGCCATCTGTACAGCATGGGGAGGTTGCCATCCATGCTGGAGTCAAGCTTTTCAGTAACATAGTTGTTTGGGGTTACACACACTCCTGTAAGAAATCCCTCACAAAACTCCTGTGAGTAAACCCAGTAAACTCCCTGGTTTACTCACTGGACTTGAGTGAAATCTTTCCTTTGGTCTGTTGTTGGTGCCCCATGTTCGGGAACATTTGTTCACATTCCTCCAGGAAAAGATCATACAGTAGGAGTTTAAAGTTTGAGAAATACTGCATTCCATATTGGAATCCCCTGGTAATGCTTTTAAGAGATGTAGTGTCCACATCTCACCAGAGGCAAGACTGACTTCATTGCTCTCAGAAGGGCCAGGACCCGTTGCTCAGATCTTTCTCAGCCAGTCTGAGAAGACCTGCTCTAACTCAGCCTCTGACCTCTGACTTCTGACCTCCGACCTATGAGAGTTACCCAGGATAAAGCCAGAAAAGAGTTAAGAAGAACTTGGCCTGGGGCTTGGCCATAGAAAGTATTCACAGATTTCGTATGAGGATGTAAGAGTGGCTAGTGTTGAAAGTTTATTGTTAGTTATAAACTCTGAATGACAGCTGAATCACATTAACACAAAATCCTTCACGCAGGGAAAAGAACTTCAACCCTTCTGAACAGCAGTAGCTAACACCTCTGTGCAAGGTGAGACTTAGTAACCTTGTGGAGGGTCTATGCACCTGGCGGAGAGTTCTCACCATTTCTTTAACCAAATCCTCCTACATTGAATTCAAGAAAGACACCATTTTTGCTGACTTAGATCTAAAATGAGTTAAGTCAGAGTAATAATCAAGGACCCCATATGTTGTATGTATTTTGAAAGAAAATGGCCCCCATAGGGAGTGGCACTATTAGGAGGTGTGGCTTTGTTGGAATATGTGTGGCCTTGTTGGAGGAAGTGTGTCATTGTGAGGATGGGTTTTAAGGTCTCCTATGCTGAAGCCATGCCCAGTGTGGACACAGTTCACTCCCTGTTGCCTGCAGATCAAGATGCAGGACTGTCAGCTCCTTCTCCATCACCATGTCTGCCTGCATGCCACTCACCATGATGATAATGGGCTAAACCTCTGAAACTGTAAGCCAGCCTCATTGAAGTGCTTTCCTTTATAAGAGTTGCCTGGTCATAGTGTCTCTGCACAGCAATGGAGACCCTAACGAAGACAGCATACAAGAAGGCAGACACTTGGGTCAGGCCAGTGCAGCAGAGTGCATGTCTTCACGGGCTGCATTAGTGAGCAAGGAGGAGGGGAGATGGACTCACATCAAGGGGGTTCTCAGATCTCTTCATATCTCTTCCCAGTGTGGCTACATTGAATAAATCTCCTTTTTCAACTTTCTGTTTTTAATTTGGCTCTTTTAATTGGCTTAATGAGCACAGGTGGCAGGACCTGACTTGGGGCACTGACTGGGCCCACAAGTTTGAGAGCAACCTGAGCTCATGTGTTCATTGGTCTGACGACCCCATTTCTCATCTTGATGCCCAGGGCATGTATTGCCTTGTAATTGACAGTAAACAAATATTTCTTAGCCGAACCACTAACAAAATGAACAAGTAAATGAGCTAAGCAGGAAATCTGACAGGTAAATGATAAAATTTAGACTGAAAATGCTATTAGATTATTTTTCGTTGTTGTGACCAAAGGCTACATCATTAATAAGAATAAATGATTCTAATAAATTTTTCAGAGCTTCTTTGGTACTGGACATTTTAATTATTTATACAAATAAAGCATGCTATGTTAATCTGTTCACCTGAGAGAGGCACAATGCTTTGCATGCATTTTTTTTCACTCATGCTCTCTTCTGTTGTAAAAATTGTATTAATATTATACTTTTTATTCCCTACCTGTTGGGAAAACTATTCAAAGAAATATCTGTTCATCCTAATTCTTTTTACTTATTTATTTCTTTTTATTTTATATTTCTTTTTACCTTGGAACCAGGCAGTCAGCTCTCTGAAGAGTTGTGGCATCAAGTTCAAAAAGGGATGCGATGTCATTTCCATGTGGAACTGAGACCAGGGTGTACATAATCTTCTCCCCTGCCTGACGTTTTTTCTTTGAAGTTGGAAGCTCTCCATCTTTCTGTTGAAGAGGTTTGAGGTTATTCAGCGTCTTCAGATTGAGTGTTAACTGCTCCAGTTAATCAGGAGATAAGGTGTAAGTTTGTCTGCCATTCTTTCATTGGATTATAGGCGTGTCTATTCTGACTCCCTCAGAAGATTGGGGCACATAGCCTTTGTACTGATGATGGGCACTCATAAGGCCCATGTTCCCCAGAGGGGTGGCCTAACCTGAGCATGTCCTTAAATCACAATAGTTATGGCCCCTTCTCTAGTGGCTTTATACCTATTTACAATGTAGTGATTTGACCCTCTACATTTATGTCAAAAACAGAGAAGAAACAGTGTCCCAAATCCTCTAAACTCCATGGACTCAAGAAGGCATACGTATTTCTGTTAAAATATTTGAACACCCTTTAAGCCAGCAGATCTGCCAGCCTTCCCATCATTAGTGGGAACATACCTTCTTAGGTACTTACTACTAACTACATTTAGGCAGTTTGTAGCTTCTGATCAGTGTAGTAGATACTACAAACATTGGTTGCAATGGGTTTCTGTAGACTTGACTTGAGAGAGGTGAGTATAAAGCATTCTGTAGTCACCACGACAACACTGCTCAAGTGCAGATCAGAACAGTGCAGCTGTGGATTCCTAGAGCATTTGGTAAACTGTTGCTGTTTCTTCTCTTCTGTTGCCAAAAGAAAACTGCTTTTCCACTAATTTATGCCTTTCAAGCATTTTAAATACAACAATATTTATAAATGTGTGGTTTGGAGGAATTGTTTAAATTCTTTTTCCTAATTTTCTTTCTTCAGGAGAGATTATTTCAACAAGCAATTTGTAGTGATGACTGTGTTGACTTCAATTTTTGAGTGAGGTAGCTGTGTGAAAGAGTAACCATTTGGTCTTATTGAAGCCAACACAGAACTTGCTGCTGCTGTGTTTTTTCTTTGGTGATAAATAAAATAGTTACATACTTTTAAAAAAAGAAGAAGAAGAAGACATACAAATGACCAGGGAATACAGGGAATATAAGTCAAAGCCACTGCAGACAGCACACTGTCAGGGACAGCATGACCAAAGTCTACGGCTAAAAGGCCAAACATGCAGAGAAAGGGAACCTTTGTACCCTGTGGATGCGAATTGTGTCATTATCATGAAAACATGTGACCCAGGGATTCTTCCTGTGGGCATGAGGGTGTGAGAAGGATACAGGATCACCTTCAAGTACAAAAACTGATATCCCTACCTCACTGAGAGACCTGTACTCCAGCCTGGCTGCAGAACTAGTCAAAAAGAAAACCAGTCCGTGTAAACAGTCAAAGACAGACAGACAGACAATAGGAAGGAAGGAAAGAAAGAAAGGAGAGAGGGAGAAAGGGAGTTGAAGCATGTGATTTCATTGGCCCACGAGAAGAACTTCCAGGGGTGATGTTATACTAAGCTGTGAGCAGCAGCTTTCTCTGGAGATTCCAAAATGAAACCACAGCCCTGACTGCCAGGAACAGAGGCAGGAAGGGGGGTCATGTGACCCTCTTGGCAGGACCAATGGAATACTGTGTGTAACCACAAACATTTTCTTCCTTCCTCCTCCCTTCCTTCCTTCTTTTTAGACAGGATTTCCCTAAGTAGACCAGGCTGGCCTCAGACTCACAGCAATCCTCCTGTTTCAGCCTGCCAAGTGCTGGGATTAAGAACTTGAGCAACCACTCCCAGCTGGCGCTCCTTCCCAAAGACAAAAACTGTCCTGTCGTGAGCTCTGATGTTAAACATGGTGAAGAAGGCAGCAGAGGGAGAACAGGTCAGAGGGGTGTAGGAAGAGGGAGAAATGACTCTGGAAGAAAGAATAGGAAATAGGAAGTTCGTTTCATTCGCAGTGGCAACAAGCTCTTAAAGAGCTTTGGGGATTCCACAATGGTATCGCTGCCGAGAGAATCACAGCTATGGTAAGTGCTGTTCCTCCCTATGAAGGAGGTGACCAAGAACGTAAGAGCACAGAACTGACCAGACAAAGAGTCAGCTCATACACGAATCAGAGGACTTTCATGGATGCCCAGACAGTGAGATCCAGGCATGCCTTAGTCCACTTGCTGCTGCTGTACCCAAGCCCCACAGGCCACATGATTTCTAAGGTCTTCATTCTGGAAGCCAGAGGTCCACACACATGGAGACAGACACTGTCAAGGGCCTTGGTACTGCATCATAACATGGAGACTACCACACCGTGAGCCAGGGCAACTGAGCCCCAGCAGACTTGGTTCGGCAACCAGTCACATGAACCCACTAGCCCGGGAATCTGTGAGTGAGGTCTCTCTGTCACAGAGTCCACATGTCTACCTCCTCCCAGGGAACCCAACCCCACTGTGGCACTGAGGATCAAGTTTGCAGCACATGGAACATAGGACAGTGTTTACATAGATAGGAAAGGTTATAATTAAAACACACCTGACTCAGGGAAGTAAGTGCTTATCAGTTAAAATGAACCATGTTCTGAAGACAGCTTTATCGACAGAAGACCGGTTCATAACCTGAACAGGTGGAGGGTCAATGTGCACAACTCTGGTACACATTGTGTAGAGGACAAAAGAAGTTGCCAGTATTCTTGGAAAAATACCATATCCCTAAAAGAAGTATGTCATCCAGCTTCCTGACTGAGCGTCCCTCACTTCGCTTACTATAATTTAGCTTTGGATACACACACTCTGGGGTGAAAAATGTGCTGACACAGCTCTTTAGATCTCTTTAGTAACTAAACGTTGACAGTATTTGAAGTGTGGTCTGCACATCAGTCCTCTATGAGTGCATTTAGTGGGGTTCACCCCACTTCTGAGATGATTTTTGTAGACTTACAAGAAGACTTCAGATCTAGATCCCTAGAGACGGCTCCTAAACTGCTCTCCCTGGTAAGGTCTGCCTACGGTGCCCAGTCGGAGTGGTCAGGAGCCTCCCTGTGTTTTGACTGTAATGACTCTTTTCAAAATACATATTTTTTTTAAAACTCACTGATTAGGGTTAATTAAACAAACCACTGAAAATTATTCATAATATTCGAGATTTGTAACTACATAGAACATGTGGAATGTGCTATTATATTCCTTCATCCTTCCTATTGGTCCTTGGAAAATAGTTTTAATACACAGAAAATCCCTGTACATAAATAATTTCACAGCTGTGTGTGGAGGAGTGTCCGACATGCCTATATATCTTTTACACGAGCCTTGCTGTTGGAAGCTTCCTGCCTTGGCTCTCCCACACTCTAATTTATTTAACAAACTCTGCTTCATAAACAATTTGGAAGTAGACATTAAGCCTGCCCCTTGGAATTTTTAAGTAATTAAATATGAATAATGAGTTATGATCATACCAGGCACTGGAAGATGTTTTTCTAAGCAGACTCCACACGGGCTGGTGAAAGGCAGGATGGAAGCCTGGCTTCTCTGCCCTCCTTCCAGGTCTGTCTTCTTCACTTTGGCTCAGAAGCCAGATTGACCCTGCACATAGGCCCTAGACACTCAAGGAATGTCCGTCTTCCTGCCCCATCTCAATGCCCTTTGAGACTAAGGGCACAGAGACATCATTGTCCTGAACCTGCGGTCACCTTGGATTCTAAGAAGAGAAACCCTCAAAGGGCACAAAGTCCCCCAATGAGGGCGATCACCAGTGAGGGTCAGGCTGCACTCTGAGCAGAAGTGATCACTGCAGGAACTCATTGATCCAGTCAAGTGATGGTGGCAGCAGTAACTTCTTCAGACAGCCTGGCCTAGAGTGGTAACCAGACAGAGCCTTGACTAGGACTCATAGTTATGGCCCAGTCTTACTCTAGTTAGACCAAGAGCTTGTGTCAGAATCCTGAAGACAGGTGAGCTCACTGGCCCCTCATCTGCTCCTCTTCCCACTGTGGCCACCCTAAAAAAAGTCTCCTTTCTCTGCTCTTCGCTCTCGGTCCTCTCTCTAACTGGTGTATCAGGATGTCAAGCCTGGTCCGAAAACCTGCCAGAGTCACCCAAAAACCCTAGTTCCATATATAATAATGAATGTGGCTTCAATAAACAAGAAAGGCAATCCTGTTTCTTTACAACATGAAGATAATTCTGTTCAAACTCACGGGCTCTGTGGATCCTGTTTATAAACCTGCACTGATTTGCAAGAAAAATCAAAGACGCAGGAACTATAGCTCCCTATAGAGAATTTTGGAAGCATCATAGTTTGCCTTTCATCATAGAAATGTATTAAGAACCAAGAGCTTAAACAGGTGCCTAGTGCAACAGCAGCAAGGTCCTCTGACACGCGCCCAGCTTAGGAGCTCAGGTCTCAGAATGCCACCTGTCTGTCCACTGGGTGCTTATCAAACAGGCACGTTTCGTATAAGTTTGTGTATGCATGGGTATGGATGTGTACATGGGAATGCGTGTGCATGTCCTCATGTGTGGGTGTATGGGTGTGTGTGTGTGTGTGTGTGTGTGTGTGTGTGTGTGTGTGTACCAGAGATCAATCTTGGACCTCAGTTGTTGAGACAAGATCTCTCACTGGGATGTGGATCTTGACAAGGCCAAGCTGGCTGGCCAGCAGTCCCCAGGAGCCTCCTCCTCCTCCCCAGTGCGGGGTTACAGGAAGGCACCACCAAAGACAGTTACTTTTACGTGGGTGCTGGATTTGAACTCAGGACCTCAGGCTTGCAAAGCAAGCACTTAGCTAACTAAGTTGTCTTCACTGCCCCAGATCTCCAGGGCTACACAGGGAGACACTTACCCTTATGCAAAGTTGCAAAGAAGCTGCTGGCTATGCCCCCTCCAGCCCCCACTCCTGGGGAGGTGCACTTCGGGGCACCCCAGAATACCTTTGTGGTGACTCATGGTGAGTCACTGACTTCTAGGTCAAACATCACATTGCCTGTACTGTTGGAGCCTGAGACACACCGGGAGAAGCCATGTCTGTCTTTTGGAACTGAGGTACAGGCTGCAGGAGGCTGCTGTGCCACTGGCATCCCCACCCGTCCTCCCCATCCCCAAGCTCCCAACTCTGCCTTGGGGAAGCCACACACTCCAGGCTTCCTAGGAAAGTGGCAAGCACTTTATCTTTGTAAGCCTCCTCCCCAGAGCCTCCTGGTGGGACCCTTTCTGCTTTCTCAGCCTGCACACCTTACTGCCAGTGAGCCTAGAGTAAAACCCAAGGCAACGTGAAGGTCTGCCAGCACCTGGAACCCCATCTCTGAATTCTGCAGAACAGAATTTGATAGTACTTTTTCAGCAGCTTCCTGTCTCTAGAACATTCCCATGTTTATAAATGCACTCGGGTCTGTGGCTGGCCACACAGGAGGATTTTGACAGTTCAGAGGACATCTGGCAGTTTCTGGACACATTTTGGTTGTCACAACTGAGAGCTGGAGAGGGGGTGGGCTGCTGCCAGAACCCAATGAGATGAGATCAGCAATGCTGCCCATCACCCTACCATCCGGAGGGTAACCCACTACCATTCGGGGAACACCCGTGCAGATGACACCCCACCACTCACACAGAGGACTTCCCACAACCACAAAGGATTATCTGGTCCTCTGTGTCAGTATTGCAGACACTGTGAAACCCCAGCCTCAGTAACAGACTCCTTCAAAATAATCAGAGCCCATGCCACATAAACATGGCAATGTTCCCCAACATGAATGACATTACAGAGAATCTTTTAAAAAAAAAAATCCCCTCTGCAGAGCCATCTGAAAAGATGTGGACCTTCAAGAAGAAATAATGACCATGAGGTTCCCAGCTGGGCTTGACATGGTGCCAATGTTTACCGGGTGCCCAGGGAAGCTGTACATTTGTAAGATTGGAAATAATGGACCCCTTTGTAAAATGAACATAGCAATTTGGTCTTAATGGGAGCCCTGACACACTCCACCTCATTTCAGTGAACCATGCATTAACCTCTGAAACTTCAAAAATGGAAGGCAACGTTTGGATAAAGGCTTCTGAATTACAGGAAAAAAATATTAGCAGGTCATTAAGTCACCAACACAGGGAAAATAATCAGCTTCGTCACAGTCAATGTTACTGGAACACGGATGTGAAAGAAGCCAGCATGTTGTTTTGGGAAATTAATCTCTATGTGACAGGCTGCAGATCAACTCTCACAGCCCCTCTCCCTTCCTCTTCAGACACAACCTTAATCACCGAAATGTGACAAACAGACAAGAAACACCTCACACTCTCAGCTTTGTTTATGCTCAAGATTGGGGCTCTGGCGAGGGGCTTATTAAATCAAACCTCTGCTGCTGGCTGTCTCTCCGAGATGACTGGCACAGTCCAGTCCCAAACGTCTACAGTGAGTGCAGACTACCTGCCCTGCTTGTGATTAAATGAGGCTGGGGACAAGCTCTCAAATGCAGGACTGTTTTGTCTCACCTGTAGTGGAGACAAGGAGTGAGGAGGAAACCACTCCAGCCAGCTTAGAACAGACTCCTAGTTCCTGTCCGCTCTGTAAAGTGCCATGTCCATGTTCACCCACTCTGCTCACACAGCCAGCAGCGTGGCCACTGAGCAGAGCAGGAAGCAGAGCAGGAAGCAGAGCAGAGCGGTAATTCAGCCACACAGCGGCAAGGTTTGGTGGCTGCCCTCCTAGGAAAAGCAACTTTCCCCAGAACTGGGGGTTAAACCCAGGGCCTCACACGTGAACTCTGTGTCGATGAGCTACACCTCCAACCCTCTTCATAACTTTGTATGACATTAGTCATCCTGTGTGTAGGAGGGCAGGTACCGCAAGGCAGAGGCGGGGGTCAGAGGACAACGTCTGTGAGCTGGTTTTCTCCTTCTACCAGGTGGGTCCCAGGAACAGAGTTCAGACCCTCGGGCTGAGCAGTGAGTACCCACAGAACCATTTCACCCCCTCCTTTAAGACAGGGCTTCACTCAGTTGCCAAGGCTGGCCTTAAACTTGTTGTCCTCCTGCCTCAGCCACTGAGGTAGTTGGAAGACAGGTCTGCACCACAGGCCCAGCTACCTGTATTTTTTCTAACCTCCTAACACCTTTTATTCAGAGTTTCTGTAGTTCTGATCTGGCTTTATTCTCGGGACACAAGGTTGGGTAGGCAGGCAGACACACAAGGAAAGTGGGTCTCTCCAGATGTCCAGAAGTAGGCCTGCTGAAGAAGCTGCCCAGAACATGACAATAATACACCCTAGGACACACAGGCAGCAAGTGAGCTCCATGCCTCCTCTGGCCAGCACCAAAACTTCAGCCTCACAAAGACAAGCATAAACAGGCCTAACCGATCACAAAGTAAACGTCACTGGGCCAGCAGCCTGACCCTCAGCTCCACTCCTACCTTAGCCCTGACAATAAAGTAGAAAGAGGAGGTCCAGTGGGACTGAGTCGAGTCCAGAAGGTCTTGTGGATCTACCAAGCCACAAAAAAACAAACCACACAAACACTGCCACCAATTAAATCAGGCACCTGGGGCTGGGGACGAGGTTCAGATGGTAGAATGCTTGCCTGTCCTGTACAAGGCCCAACACACATAAAGCCAGGTGCAGTGGAGCACACTTGTAACCCACTCACACGCTAGTTCCAAGTCTCAGGTGGTGTGAAAAATGCTGCAGTGAATACAGACATGAAGGCCGAGCACCGGTACACCAGCTTTGTTAGTGTGGGACTGCCACCCAGTAGTGGGGCTGCGGGGTTGGACTGCAGCTCTATACTTAATGTTTTGAGGAATGACCACACTGTATTCATGACGACTATCTACCCCACCAACTCTGCACAAGGCCCCTTTCTCGGAGCCTCCCCAGCATCTGTTGTCTTTCTGACAGGGCTCACCCTCGCTGGAGTGAGAAGATGTTGTGATGTGGTTTTAACTTTCATTTTCCTGATGGTAAAAACATGCAACATGATACTGTCCGTGTGAGGGTTTTTTAGACAGCGCAGGAGACAGAAAGCACAGACACGTGTATTACATCAAACCACAAAGCAAAGGGAGCGGGGAACAGAGGCAGGACACCTCGGAGGAGGGGAGAAACGTATACACCCAACCAAGAGTAAATGCCCAGAAATGATTCTTCCTAGTTCAAATCAACAGCAGAAGAATAAACAACCCAAAGAATGAGCTAGCATTCTCAATAGACACTTCTCAAAGGAAGACAGACAGACAGACAGACAGACAGATGGGGGAACTGTTTGTTGCTGTTGTTGTTTTTAACGTTTTGCTTTTGTGTTTATTTTCATTAATTTGACTAATCACAGCTACAACTGTACCCAAAGGCAGGTGTAAAGCCGTCTTCACTGACAACCAAATCAGACCTATTAACAGCCTCCTGGTGACAGTGTCAACATGTCTTCCTCCTGCTGGACCAAAACTGTGCACCAAAAGGGCAGAGTGTTAAACAGTAACATCACAGGTGTGAAAGGGGCGCTGCTCCCTTCCCACACATCCCACTCCGCTACCTTGGACAGAGACAGAGAGAGAGAGAGAGACAGAGAGAGAGAGAGACAGAGAGAGAGAGAGAGAGAGAGAGAATGTGGCATTCCCACAGGGCACTTCAAAACATCGGAAATATCACCCATGTCTCATGGATTGCAGTTTTAATTTCTCTCCTCAAATAGAACCCAAATCATTTTAAAACCAAGAGGAGAACCCAAATTATTTTAAAGCCAAGAGGCGAATGATCTGTCCTATCTTAACAACTTGCCATAATTCCACTTTTCTGTACTTGTGGAAACTGAACCTAGACCTACCACAGAAGCCTCAATGTCTTGCAATACACGAGGTGGGAATGTCCCTTAGTGCCCCCTGCTAGGGGTGGATATCAACTGAGCCCTCCTCTTTCTCTTTCTGGACCATCAATTGAGAGATTCTGTCCTGGGGTCCCCAGTCTTCAAGTCTGTTACAAAGGCTTTGATTTATTCATATAAAAGATGACACAATTGGGACATTCTGAGGGGAACATCTACTCACCACAGTCTTTCCCTCATTTTGAGCGTCTCGATAGTCAGGATTAAGCTGAAAAACAAAGCAAAACTAGTTTTAAATAAAAAGTGCCAGTGAGAATGAGCCTGGGCCAGTAAGGTGACTCAGGGGATAAAGCCTGATGACCTGAGTTCAATCCCTGCATTCTCTCTCTCTCTCTCTCTCTCTCTCTCTCTCTCTCTCTCTCTCTCTCACACACACACACACACACACACACACACACACACACACACACACACACGAACATGCTTAAATACCACACACACAAAGAAGAGTCCTGCAGTGGCCCCACTACTGACCTGTGACTCAGAGACCCAGAGAATTTGCCAAACAGAAGCTGACAGGAACAGCCTCTCTGTCTTGGATAAAGTGTGGTTAGGCCAAGCAGAGATCTGTTCCCGGCCACAGATTCATGATCAGAGATGATGCCATGCTCAAATGTGACAGGGCACAAAGCAGAGGGGCTGGTGGGGGCAGGGGGCTGTCTAAGAATGCTGTGAGACAAATGGGGAGGGAAGAAGCTGTGGGGGGGGTGCCCACTGGAATCACGCTGCACGAGAATGTAGAGACAGCACCTCTGCTATGAACAGCCAATGGGACTTTGTGACAAACACACCCAGCTGCCCTGCAGCTGAGGATTTAGAAAGACGACTGAAGTGTTGTACTACAGAAATAAAAATATGGAACAAAAAGATAATCTACCCACCCGTGCCGCTCTGCTCAGGCCAGGGAGGGGCTTTCATCTGTGGTGCTTTTACGGATGCTGACGTGGATGTTGGTTTTGTACTCATGTTTGACCTTCGTTGAAATGACCTTAGTTCTTTATGATTATCTGTGTTCATTATTCCATATATATGTAGAATAATATACACAGGGAACTCTGTGTGTGTGTATATATGTCTATATGTATATATATATATATATATATATGTATATATATACACATACATATAGACATACATACACACACACATTGCTGTGGAGGTCAGTATCAATCCTCCAAAAGGCAGGATCTGGACGTGTAAGCCCTCCAGCACACCTGTGAGGGATTGTCTTGATTATGTTAATTGAGGTGAGAAGAGCCCATGACAGTAAGAGACACAGTTTGTTCCTGGACTGCCTAAAAGGAGAAAGCAAGCTGAGCACAGCACTCATCACTCCTAGTTCTGACTGTGTCGCCACGTGGCCAACCAACCACCACAAGCTCTCGCTCCGCCATGATGGAATGTAGCCTGGAACGGTGAGCCAAAATAAACCTTCCTTCCTTAAATTGCTTTTGTCTTATCCAGCAACAGACAAGCAACTTATACAAAGCTAACCAAACTGTATCTAAGGGTCACTATGGTGATATTTTATTTGTATTAAAATGTTATTTGTATGTTAATAAATAAAGTTGCCCGGGGGTCAGAGCTATTAGCAAGCCATAGGAAAGCAGGGCAGTGGTAGCGTACGCTTGTAATTCCAGCACTTGGTAGGCAGAGCTGGGTAAGTCTCTGTGTGTTCAGGGATACAGCCATTATTGGATACACATGCCTTTAATCTTAATACCAATCACGGAAAACCTGGAGGCCTATACAGACAGACTGTGAGGAGGCGGTCATGTGGTTGGGTTTACAACCAATGAGAAGGCAGGACAGGAACTCTATATAAAGACTTTAACACAGAGGTAGCTCTGGTTCGGAGAGGTAGGACCACCGCAGGAGGAAGGGTAAGGTTTTAGCTCTTAGCTCTGACCTCTTGGCTTTCTTCTTTGCATTGGTTCTGTGTTTCTTATTTAATAAGAAGGTTGGATACATCGACAGGTCACGTTAGAATAATTAGTTCCAGGTAACACAAAGTAAAGCCAACCTCAAAACCACAGCATGTCTACAAGCCGGATCTGCACAGAAATAGGAATTGGCACAACTAAGCCAAATGCCAAACGTTTCATGACCTTTGAGATGCAGGCCATGTTCTCTGCCCTCCAACCAGGACATGCCACACCCTGCAACTGTGAGCCAGAATGAACCATCCTTCTCTTAAATTGCTTTTGTTAGTATTGTCACTACAGAGAAGGAAAAACACCCACGTAAACCCACAGCCACATGCATTTGCCACCATTACTGTTAATGATAAAACACACACCTCAAATTCTACCGCTTTGTCCCTTCTCCAAATAGAGTAACAGCCATAGTTATCTAAGTCATCAGCAAAGAATGTACAGAAAAAGAATATTGCTAATGAAGGAAGAGAAAGATGTCCTAGGGAAGTTCCTGGATCTTCTTAGACCTTGATGGAAAACACTGCATTATGTTAAAAACTGAATTATAAATCTGGCACAAGGGAAAGAGAGAACCCTGTAATAGACCCTGATAGAGAGGCTCTAAGGGGCAAAACTTGCGTCAAGCGGTATTTAGCCAAGAGTCCTGTCCCTAACTACCAACCCTGTGACCTAGGAAGGAAAATAAGACATAAATACAGTCAGCTATACTACAAAGCAGAATGTGACCAGAGCTAGGAGGCAGAAATGAATGATTTGTAAATAATATAGGTCAGAAGAGGAAGAGAGGGGTCTATGATGAGCAAATTTATTCAAGAATTGTTCATGGTGTCTGAGGTAATCCTTGAAGGGTGAGTTGAAGAAGCACCACATGAGAGAGAAAAACAGGACTTGTTTGTAGAGTCTCTTGTGTGATACTTTAAAAAATGTTTTTGAGAGTTCATTCATTTAACTTCACAATTCTGCTGCTGAGAAACACTCTCCATCCTTCTTCACAGAGGAGCACTGGGCCCACTGAGTGAAGAACTTCGCACAAAGTCATGAGGTGTCATTGTGAGAGAGCTAAGTCTGAGGGATGGAAGACACACCCTGAGTAACTTGCTCTCCTGCCTCCAGGAGGCAGAGTGGTGTGAAAGATTCCACACCAGACAGGCTTTTATGTTGAAAGGAAGATCACCCTAGGTCTAGGGCCTACCCCAAGAGGCTTTTAAGCTAAAAGGAAGATCACTCAAGACAAATGAGGCTTTTAAATGAATGATATAAAATCAATCTTATATGTTTATATTCAGCAGCATCTAAGTATAGAAACTGTGACAGAAAGATATGCTTGATGTTCAAGTTTTAACCCCTGCACTGGGGGAAAAAAAATCACTGCTTTATTGTAAAATAACCCAAGCTTTAGGATTATTTACTACATTTATAAGGCAGTGAGCTAGCCAAGATCAAATTCACGGTCCACAGAGCCATGGGAATGGCAAAAGGAGAAGAACATAGATTAGATTACTGGCAATATTGAAAGACACGGTCTTCTTCAACTGCCAAAGACAAACAGTTAAATATGATGCGACATGGAGAAGAGAAAGTCAGATCATTGCATGGTGACAAGCGTCAAAAGAGTTACAATGCCAGCTGTAGAGGCCCACAGCCCTCCATCCCCACAACAGTAAGAAATGACTGCAGTCACAGGAGCCGGTGATACATGCTTACATTCTTGCTTTCTTTCTTTTTTTTTTTTTAGTGGTGGTGGTGGGGGAGGGTAGACACACCCACAGGTTTGTGCATGTAATCGCAGTTATGGTGGAGACCAGAAGAGGGCACCAGATCCTTTGGAGACGTGGGGGCTGAGACTCAACAGGACTGCAAGAGCAACGGGTCCTGGGGTCCCAGGGACTAAGTCCACAGTTTGGAGGCAAATGTCCTTTTTCTTCTCCTTATTGTAGTTTTGGTTTGAGTTTTTTGTTTTGGTTAGTGTTTGTTTCTTTGTTTGAGAAAGTGTCTCCTGTAGCTCATGCTGGCCTCACGCTCTCTACACAGCTGCTGGGGTGGGGTGGGGTAGGGGTGCGAGCTTCTGCTCCTGCGTCCCCCTCTGGGAGCGCTGGAACACAGGTGTGGGATTCAAGCCTGTCCTCTTCACAGGCTGTTTTTAATTAACTGTACCTCAGAGCACTGAAGTTAGGAAGTAAAGTGTTTAGTGCCATCTGGTGGATGCTTGACCTATCTACAAACAAATGCACTTGTCCTTTTTCTTCACTCAGTGTGTATGCCGCGCACGTGTGCACACGCATAGCTCTTCCAGCACCGGTCACTTTTTTTTTTAATTGACACAATGTATTCACCTGGCTTAGAGCCCTCCTAGTTGTCTAGGCTGGCTGGCCAGAGCCCCAGGGACCCTGTCTCCATCTACCCAGCGCTGGGATCCCAAGCACAGGCCACTGTACCTGGCTCTTTTTAGGCAGGTTCTGGAGTCAAACTCAGGTCCTCTTGCTTTCCTGGCGAGCAGCTTGCCCATGGAGCCCTCTCCCCAGCCCCAAGTGAACTACTCTCTAGAGGGTGACACCAAAGCCAGGCACAGCAGCCCGCACTCGGGCGGTGGAGGCAGGAGGATCAGGAGCTTGAAGCCAGCCTCTGAAATGGTGAGTTCCAGCCCAGACAAAATGAGACCCTGTCTTGCAAAACCAAAGGCAACATGAAATCTTTAATAAATAAAATTTTACATTCTCTGATCTGTCTTTTTTTTTAAAAAAAAATTGTAAGTTATTCTTTCAGTGATTAATATCCAAAGTCAGAGAATGTAGGAAACGGCAGGTTGGAAGCTGTGGTGTAGAGTGTAGCCCTTCCCACATAACAGGAGATGATTCTAAGGCCCATGTTAGCCTGCTCCTAAGATGACCCGTCCTAAAGGACCAAAGGTCTAAGTCACAGCATCAGTGAGTCCACAACTGTGCTGTCCGAATCTGTCACCTGCACTTTGGCCACCCAACTCATGTGTGTCCCATGGAAATGACATTACTGAGAGAGAGCATGTGACACTTCTGTGTAACCACATGAGGTCCAAATGTCTTTAAAAGAGTTTTGTTGGGCACTAGATCCATAAATAAAACTTCAGTTTCTTTCTATTTTCTGCTCTTAGTTTAAAGTTGCCATCTTCAAACTTACTGCGTTTAGCATATGCACCTAGATGTTGATTATTTTAACATTTATAAAGCCAGAGGGCTCAGATGTGTATGATGGAAGCAATCAAAACAGTAAGAGCCCATAGCTCAGTGATGTGCTG